AAAATAAAAGAATTAGTAAGAAATTCTAATATTTTCCTATTTCTCCTAATATTACTACTAGTTATAATACTAGGCTTTATTTTTTCTTTTTATTTTTAGTTTCCTATTTTATATTACTTAATTTCTTAATTTTAAAAGCTTAGTATTTTTAAACTATTACTTTCTTTTACTTTCCGGTATTCTTTAAAAGTAAAATAATTATAATAATATAGGTATTCTAGTTATTTTTAGGATTAGTAAATCTTTTATTTTATAAATTATTACTTCTATATATAATATTTATTTTTACTTTTACTAAGAATAATTAATTAAGCAAGATCTTTAAAGTTTTTTTAACTAGGAAAAATATATCTTTATATTCTATTTTATTTATAATTTTAGCTCTAAGCTTTACTATTTCTGCAAATTCAAATTTAGCCCTAATAATAATAAATATTTAATAATTTATAGTATTATATACTATTTTACTAATATTTCTAGAAATCTTTTTAAGGAAAATATTAATTTTAGCTCTAATATTAATTATTTCTTTATATTTAATACTTTCTTAAGGTTCTTGAAATATAAATTAGAGATATAGAGATTATATAATATATTTATAAACTAGTAATATTCGAATATTAATACTATTACTTTTCAATTAAAGAATTCTATTAGTATTAAATATTTAAGCTAGTATTTCTAATTTCTTAAATATTTTATTTATTATATAAGCTATAATTACTAGCTTTATAAATTTTCTAGTATATCTAATTATACTTAATATAATAGTATTTCCTATTTATAAAATAATATAATAAGAAGTATTATTTTTAATTTATTAGTTCTAAAATATAATAATTAGATCTGGTGTTTTTAAAGTATTAATAAATATTCTTGTTTCTTTCTAAGTCTTTAGAAATAAAATAATTACTTTCTTTAATAATCTTATTAGAATATTATTAACTTTAAGAATTATATATTTATTATAATTAAGAGTATACTAGGTTTCTAATTTATTCTATTTATTCCCGGAAATATTAATATTTATATTTTTAGTTAGGCTATTTCTTTATTTATTATTTCTTAAAGTAATATTCTTTTAGCCTCTTATATAAGATAGCTTTTCTTCTACTTTAGCTTCTTTTCGGAAACCCTCTTTAGCTATTTTTATCTCTTTTTTCTTTTTTCTTAATAAGAAACCTATTATAATATTAATAGAAATACTATTTATAACTAAATCTTAATATTATTTATTAATTCTAGAATCTAAAATATTAGTAATTCTAATATAATTTCCTCTAAAATAAAGCAGCGGTTTAAATTCTCTAGATATAACTTGCTTGCTTTTATATATAGATTCCGGTTAGCTAGTTCTCTTATCTTTTTTCTATCTAGTAAACTAAATATTTCCTATTAATCTCTAGATATTTTTAGATCAAATATTTAAGTTATAATTAAATTCTTCTTTTCGGACTTAGGAAATAATTTAGTTAAACTACTAGTATTTACTAGTAAAGAAAAACGGAATACTTTCTTATTTAGGCTTAAATAGCCCTTTATATTATCTTTTATTAAATTAGTAAATATATTTTTAATTTATGAGTTCTTTTATTAGTAAATAATAGAACTAAGAAATATAAATATATTTTAGATTAATATTATTATTCTTATTTCTATTATAGTATTTATAATAAATTTGTTTTCTCGGTTTTGAATTTATATTATACGCTATATTAATTTAAGTAGTATTTTCTAATTATACTTGAGACTAACTTTTTCTAGAATATAATTATCTAAATTCTTTATTTATTCTAACTTAATTATTATAGCTATTATAGTATTTTCTTTAATCTCTATTATAACTTCTAGTATATTTTCTCTAAAAACCCGAATTATACTTACTAGGCTATTAATACTATTATATTTACTATAGTTAGCTAGATTATATAAATAGGCTATAGATATTTTCCCGAATTATAATAATAGTTATATTAAGTTATTTTTATAAGTTCTTTTAAGTTATAGTAATAATAAATAGTTTTTCTAAACTTTTTACTAGCTAGTTAATATTATTTCTTTTAGGTTTATTACTTTTAGTAAGTTTTATATAATTAGCTATAAGTTAGGTTTTTTTCTTATTTATATCTATAGTAGCTTTAGGAAATATAATAAAAGGAACTAGTAAAAAGTAATTATTTTCTAGTTTAGAAATTATATTATAAATTATTATATCTAAATATTCTTATCTAAATCTAAATATATCTGAATTATTAGTAATATTAAAATAGTATTTCTTTTTTTTATATTAATAAAATATTATTATTTTCTTATATATCTTATTATATTTATAAATAGAAATATTTATAGACTTAAAGTTTATATTCTTAAAAATATAATCTTTTACTAGAATAAATAATTCCCTTATAAATTCTTAATACTAAGTAATTTTATTTATTTCTTTCCTTTTTAATAACTTCTTTAATACTTTATTAAATATATTAATATAAGACTTAGAAGAGATTTTTTTATTCTGGGCTTATATAATAATCTAATTAAGAAAATCGCAGTTAATTTTAAATATTTCCTAGTTATATTCTCGGAATTTCTTTAGTAAGGCCTTAAAGAACTTAGTTTCCTAATAATTTCCTAAATTATTAGTATAATATTCCGGTATAGCCTTAATTTAATTCTTATAAATAAAAGAGATATAATAATTCTTATATATATTTATATATTATTTCAAGAATATAGAAAGTTTTTTTTAAAAACTATAATATTTTAAAAGCTTCTATAAATAATAAGTTTAAATCTAATACTAGTATATATATATTCTTAGTTATATTAATCTTAATAATTTCTTTTATAATTAATTATAGAGTTTCTATATCTAATATTATTACTAATAAGATTTCTAAAAAGCTAACTTGCTATTTAAATATATCTTTTAATTTGGGAACCGGGATTTAAAAGAAACTAGTTAATAATAATAAATATAGTCTAGATTTGAATTTTAGTATTAGTAGTAATAAGGTAATAGATTTTCTAGTTTTATTTCTATTTTATTAGCTTAATACCTATAGTATTTTCTCTTAATTTTACTAAACTAGATATATCTAATAATATTATTAAAAGTAATAATAAAAATAATAAATATAATTTCGCTAATTTCTTTAATTTTTCCGAATTCTCTTTTTTATTTTTATTTAGTATTCTTTCCTTTCTCTAAAAGCTTCTCTAGATTATCTATATAATTTCTTATTTCCGATTTCTTTTTAATTTTTATTTCTGGTTCCTATTTATTATTTTATTTAAAATTAAAAGTATTTTCTCTTTTAGATATCTTTTTCGGATTTAGAAATAAGCTTTTCTACTAAAACTAATTCTATCTTTATTTTAGTCTTTACTATAACTAAAAATAATATATAAATTAATAATATAACTTTATTTCCGAGTATTAAAGTCTATTTCTAACTAAGATTTGACTTATATTATCTTAGTATAATATTTCATATTTCATTTCTTCTACTTCTTTTTTTTTTATAATTAGCTTCTATTTCTATTACTTCTATATACTATACTAGTAATTATATCTTATAACTAACCTATATTCAAGTTACTAGATATATCGGAAATTAATATAAGATACTAAGATTAATACTTATATATCCTTAATATTTTAGCCTTAGGCTTAAGATATTATAATAGCCCTTTTTTCCCTAAACTTACTAAGCTAATAATCCGCCTTATAAATATTCCTTAAAACTTTATAAGAGTATTACCTTAATTATAAAGTTTTAATCTTCCCTATATTACTTATTATAAAATATATAAGAAGGAAACTATAATAAGACAAAAACCCATATAAAGTATACTAGAGTACAAAACGTAACTTAATAATAAAATAATAAGATTAAAAGCATAAATAGTAAAGTATAAATAGTATATAGTATATAAAAGCATAATTAATTAAATATAAAGGAGGGATTATTCTCTAGGACTATAGAAAAACCAGCTTTCTTATATAATTCCCGCAAGTTATATACAAAAGGCCGCAGCCTTTGCTATGTGACCAAAATCTCAAAACTGCCAAAACAACATGATTTTTGGAGAGTACGGCCTGCCGTACTACACTAATTAAAAGCCTACGTACCTGAACGCTCCAGGGCCTATAATTGGGCCCTATAAGCCTGGCGATTCGGGGCTTCTCCACACTAAAGTCGTCTTCCATAGTATACTTCTGAAGGATATTTCCGGTAGATGCTAGTAAGCCGATTCAGTAATTTATAGTGCGTAGAGGTAGCGTCCGGTGCTCATAACCTATTGAACTAGCTAAGTAAAGAAGCTAGGGTCACGTGCTTGCAATGTAAACCAAGTAAAACGTACTGAATTGACTGCTGTTCTACAGTGGTAAGTAGCCCGTATATATAACCCTGAACCCCCTAAATTACATGCACTAAACCCCTATGCCAGCTGAACCGATTCCAGCTATACAGGGCATTCCAGCTATACGGGGTATTCCAGCTGTACAGGGTATTCCAGCTATACAGGGTATTCCAGCCATACAGGGTATTCCAGCTGGACAGTGTATTAAGCTAGTGCACAGCCCCATGGCGTTCGGTTCCAGGGCTTACTAAGCCTATTAGGGGCCTCAGGCCCCTAATTTCAACAAGGAGGACTATACACTTTTCCTTTTTCATATTTTAGTGATGCGTTGTGGTTGTGATGCAAGGGGAGCAAAGTGAGATCCCTGCTAGCGCTACTACAATACTTATGGGCTGTACCTCCGTAGTCGGGATTATATAAGTCGTGCATGTAGTAAATATTACTGCATTCTGAATGGGCTATCCACCCTGTACAGTGCATCAAGGCTTTGTGTAACCAAGATGACGTGTCAACTGCGACCTCATCCCATTTAGTCCGCATCTGGTTTCGACGCCTTGCAGCCTCGTGGTCAAAAGCAATATATTATCGCTCTAGTCGCTGTTAGCTCGAAATTCTCCTCCTGTGAAGTCTCACTCGTACATAAAAAGGCACACCGCTAGCCTTAAATCGAAGTAGTCTCACGACCCTTAGCCACATGAGCAAAATGTTGAAAAAGGATTTCAAGAAACAGCGCCCTCCTGGTGACAACTTGTCGAACACCGTAATCTCAGCAGCTATGCCTCGGAGTGGTTCTACTTTGTGTCCCATTGCGCTGCAGGGGTATCCACTCCGCTCAAAATCTCGTGTAGCATTTGATTAACAGATTTAAGATCTCAATTCCGGGTATATAGCGCAAGTCGTGAAGAGTTGGTCCGCATTTCAAGGTATTGCCCAGGAAAACCATACATCGAGCTCCAAGTCCCTGGCGGGCTAGAGGAAATTCACCGCATCGAATTCATAACTAGATCCCACGATCAGGGTTAGTTGGGTGCTATCCATCATCACAGTAGACCGACTCACTTTCACAGGCTTTTGTGGCGAGCCCGAGTTCGTGGGGACATACGAAGGCTCATATACTTGGTTCGAGGCTAGTGTGTCGACACCTGCCGGACTTGATCGTATTCCCCGGAACTTGATCCAGTGCAACGTAACTGCCAACTCTGAATTCAAAACACATACCATCACCTGGGATTTGTGCACCGCAGATGAATCTCAGCGGCAGTGGATAGGACGGATTCAAAGTGGGGACATAATCCGGATCATTCCGAGAGCTCAGTGGAAGTGTTGGGTCAACTATGTTGAATCCGCTCGAATTGATCTTCATTGCAGGATGATTAAGGCCGCGATCAGTTCCACCACCATGCCTGCCAAAGACCTTACACAGACAGTCAGGGCAATTCAAAATGACTATCAACACTACCAAAAATTAGACAGAGACCGTCAAGAGCTGCGCCTTCTCGTTCTCCAGCCAGGTTTATTGGAAGATCCCATCTGCTGTTACCTAATCACATCGTCGCTTACAAAAAGCCCTGCCCCAGTCTTCGAGGCTTTGTCCTACTGTTGGGGGAACATGGCTGACACCAGAAAAATCAAGCTCTCACATACAAGTACTTTAGAAAGCTCCGCTCAACATCAAGTCTTCGCAATCACGAGTAGCCTTCATGGTGCCTTGAGGCACCTGCGACACTCCGATGGTCGAAGCAGAACTCTCTGGGTTGATTCAGTTTGCATCAACCAAAGTGACCTTCAAGAGCGAGGGGCACAAGTAGACATGATGGGGGATATTTATTCACGTGCGGATTTGGTATGTGTATGGTTGGGAGAAAGTGACGCAGCTTCCACCAGAGCAATGGCGTTAATTCGGGACGTATCTGACCGAGACCTCCATTGGGGTGCGCAATATGGTGAAGATTCCAGAACTGCATATTACAAAATACTAAAGGATATATCACAATTATTCAACTACCCCTGGTTTGGTCGGGTTTGGGTACTGCAAGAAGTTTGGAAAGCATGCAAGGCTATTGCTTCTTGTGGAAATGATACGGTACCGTGGGAATCCATCATCCAAACAAACCTCTGGATGTTAGAAGCCCATGGCGGAGGGTTCCCAGGATTTAATCTCCACACGCTACCCTCGATTTGGACAAAGCTCGCTGGAGTTCGTAACTTAGAGGTCGAAGAAGACGCACGAAAACGGAACCCAGGAGTCGGACAAGAAATACGAAACATAGCGCAAACGTCGGAACAGCTTCCCTGCCTTGAGTTATTGGACTTGATCCTTGAAAGTATAAGTTTAAATGCAACTGATCCAAGAGACAAGATCTACTCCTTACTGGGCATGTGTCAAGAGACCCAGGGTACCAATCCCACACCATTGGCGCTCCGCTCGGATTACACCAAGACTACTAGCGAAACCTTCGTTGACTTCACCCGTTGGTGGATTTTAAAACATAAGTCACTTGTCATTCTGTCTGCTATCCACGCGCTCACCGGTCGAACTTGGCAAGAACTAGGTTGCAGTGCCTCTTCAATGTCAAAACAAAGCACCTTGCCAGTGGATCACCCTTCCTGGGCACTCTGGCATGAAGGCGATGGTAGATGGGCAAAAAGAACGCTTGGGATGTCCCGCTTGTATAAAGCAGCCGGCAATACACTTGTCTCGCTAGAATCTTCGGATATTACGAGTTCACAGTTGAGCCTTACTGGTCTGAGAATTGGTGTTGTTGCATCAACCCACCGCTACCCGTTTTACAAGGCAGAAGAAGACGAGCTTTATGGCGCCTATATCAGATTGTTTGATCCTGCTGGATCATACGGAACTTGGAATTTTGGCAATACCAATGATCAACTTCGAAAAGAGGAAGAGAAAGTGTTATACATGGACCATTATTTTTCTCATTGGGATACACCGCCAGATACGCTACCCGACGAAGTTCCGTGGGATACTAGAGGAATCAATTTCGGGAATCGTTGGTCATTTCCATGTCATGGGACTCCTTTGTTCAGAACTTCAGATGGCTCTCTTGGACTATGCCCACCAAAGACGCAGCCAAATGATATCATAGTCATTCTGTGCGGAGGACCTGTTCCTTTCATACTGAGGGCAAGGGAGGAATGTGGGAGACAACTTGATATGACCGTGCAGTATGAATTCATTGGAGAATGCTATCTCCAGGACTATATGCATGGCGCTGCGATCGAACACCAGCAGCGTTGCAACATCCCCCTACAACAATTTGTATTAGTCTGATTATATCTCATAATTCATTTTCTGCCTGACGGGCTAGCACCACATCCTGAGGAGCGATGCCGACGTGTGTTGTGATCCAAAGCGCGAACTGATGTTTTTGGTGCTCTGATTGGTTGACCATCATGTTCTCATTATTCTAGAATACAGTAGGGGATCGCTGACTATATACCCAGTCCCGACCAGGGGCTTGCAGTACTGACAAATTCAACAGGCTTCTCCGATCATATTCAATGCTGCTCCTTAGCTTCTCAATCATCGTAACATTCAGCCCTGGTGTGGTGCTGCACGTGTTCGGCGGGTGATCTGCTGCGTCGGCACCAAACATAACCAATCAGAACCTGCACTATCGTTGTGCCCCATCCATTCCACGTTCCAGCCGCTAGATCTCTTCCACCTTCCTCATCTGCGTTGCCGTCTAACCCGCAATCCCTTCGCCACAATGATCACATGCCCGCCCTTTAACATCTCTACATGTCTTCCCTTCTTCATCAAGATACGCGCTCATGGCAAGTCGACGGCATTCTTTGATTTCGATGAACCGTTTCATCGCCATCTCGTCGATGCTTAGTTCGGCTGCTTCGGTCTTCCGTAACTTCTGACTCTCCAAGTCCGTCAGTAGAAGAATCGAATCCACATCTTCACCGTTGCGCCCCCTCCACGTCCTGTCTCCTGCGCGAAGTCGATCATTCCATATGGAATCCTGATGTGCACGATGTAAGATTACACGATTCCCGGGAAGTCCACCCCCGTTCCGAGTGCCTCGGCGGCTGCACAGAACCCACTATTTTCCATCTATAAGATGATGGTCTCCTCCTTGCTAGCAGAATTAGAGTAGTAAAATCCACATCCGAGCAGCTTCGCTAGCTCTTCTGCCTGATCCCTACTACGACAATAAAAAATCCCGTGATCCCTTTCTTGAGCCTGCGGAGCCGCGCTATCTCACAAGCCATCTTGAGTTAGTCCTTGTTGGAGCACCACTGCACCATGTATCGGATATTGGGCCGAACCGTGCTACGCCGAATGATGATCGGATTGTGGATGCTTATTGCATCGACCAGCTTATATACTCGTGTAAGTAGTAGCGTGGCCGTCAATAATACAATTGATACTCCTAGCACCCGTAGATGATGTAGATGCCTCAATTTCTGTCGATAATCGCTGACCCTGTAAGGGAGATGGCACTCATCGATGATAGACCTTCATAGCAGCTTTCGATTCCTAGCATGAAACCGTAAGTGGTACCTTCGTAAAGTCAGAGCACACACTGTGGTCAGCGCTGACGACAAGCACTGGAGCCCACCTCGTCTCCCCGTAATCCCATACTACATGATCGATGCTGCTTAGTTTGAGCCGACGGCAGTGACGGCTCGTTCTTGCTCTCCGGATCGATGTCCATACCCCTATCGAGCAAGTCGACTGACTTCCTCTCATGGATCGATTGGCTGGCCTGGAATATGGTCGGAATGTTAGCCCCCCTCGTGCCGCCGACCTCTTCATCGGTGTCTCCGTCACGGCTGCATCTGATGATCCCCTGCTATGCTTGATCCAAACCGGCGGCTGGCGACTATCCAAGCCCAAGAAGTCATGCTACCTCGAGCAGATCGATCCAAAGACCTAGAGACTCTCATCCGTGAGATTCGTAATGATGTGCCCTCGTACCCTATACCGCTGAGCCATCTCTCTCGTGTGAGCTGCGGCAAGATCAATAGTATTGGAAAGTGATCGATTTATTGATGGAAAATCGATATATTGGAGGTTGACAATCTGTAGAATGACTAGATACAGGAGAGTGAAGTGTAAAAACAGAGGAAAAGTGTCTAAAGTAAGGGATTTATTCCCATTACCCTTCGGCGATACCGGTGATGCCGAGCCCGCTTTCTCCGATACATTATCAATCAGCTGATAAATCAAAAGTAATCAAAATGACGATATACTAGTAAGCTTGGTAAGCTCAGCGAGTGACGCATGACAAATGAGAGTGGAGAACCCTAAATTAGTGGTTGAACCTGGTGCTGGAAGGACTGGTGAGCTAGCTATGGTAGCGTACCAATTTCAACAAATAGCACTATCGAGTACACCTGCCTCTGGTATAACATCTACTCCCTCTGGCAGCATCTCATCTCCCCCTACATCTCCCCTACGCTAATCCCGCACAAAATCCCCACCCACATATTTCCGTCCCATCTCTATAGCGACGTGTCGATAACCCGACGTAGTAAATTCCTGGCCCATCGCCGTCTCCGCTTTTAGCACTTTGGTGAGATGGTATATCGACCAAGACCCGTTCTTATCATGCCAGAGATGGTCACTGCGTGGCAAGCTGCTGGCCCAGTCCAGAAGATACGGTGTTCTCTTGATGGAGCCGAAGGATATTGCGTCTGGCCCACACAGCAGGAAGCTATCGTCGTCCTGCATTGGGCTTCTTGTATAAACCACAATATTTCACCTGTAGCCATCTCGTTATGCCCCCATCTGTAAGCCTGCGCCTCTTTCTTCCAAATCTCACTACCCTATAACCAACCTTCAGCTGAAATCACTGAATGGCTCTAGTAGACCTGTCCACCCAGAGATGGACCGGCGATCGAAGCGCTGTGACATGCGTAGACCTGCGATGTCGCCTCTCAAGGTACTTCGTCCGCCACACCACACCACTATCAGAGTCGATCTCCAATTGGCCATCCCTCGCTTTCTCGCAGATCACATAATTTTGGAGTAGGTGATGTAAATTGTTGTTGGGTGGGGAGGCAGGTGTGTATCGTATTAGAGCAAAGACGGTGATGTGTGTAACTGGAAATTTTCGTAGAATAGAGTCCTCGGCTACACACCTTAAACCCCTAGCCTGAAGTTTGTCGTCGGTGCCCTCCGCCAGCAAATAGCAAGAGAGCTCAATAAATTACTAGCTGTCCCAATTAAGGTTGATTTGGTTACGGGTAGGTTCGGCCAAGAGAGAGGAGGCATCCGTTATAAAAGACTCGTGTGACCGCAGTCTTGCCTACTTGGGGATGACTGGCGGTAGAATTTTCCTGAGAAATTGCGGTTAGCGTCTGGCTTTTGGAGTTTGCTGCCGTGGGATTTTCCTCGCCCGTCTGAAATTGATCCTTTTGAAATACGTGGCTTAAGATCCTGTCAGCCCTCTCGTTGGACATATAGTAAGTCAGGTATATATTAACAGTCGTATGGCCAGCAAATCTCAGCCGGTCGGCGTTTGAATAAGGGCGAGCTCGAACTTAAATTTAATTAGGTAACAATCTAAGTAGGGTAGAAGCATTACTGCTCATTAATCCTTCGCCTCTAAAGTCGAAAGCTGTAAACTTATTATAGCAAGGTCGTTGGGCTTCGGTCGTCAACTATCTAGAGAGTAAGCTTGACTTTGGGTTCGTTCTTGTTCGGCGACGTATATAGGCTATCGGAAGATAGGTACGCGCAGCATATGGTTCCCATGTTGAGATGTAGTGATTGTAACTTAGGGCTTCTAAGTTAAAAATCCCGTCGGCTGTTTCGTAATCCTTGATAGCTCTACTCGCGAGGGCTATGGCGAGAATTAATAGAATATGATGTTTTCGGTTTTATTGAATGAAGATGAATAAAAATGAATGAAGATGGATGAAGAGGTGAGGAGGGAGGAAGAGAGGAAGATGGAAGATCAACGAGATTATATATGTATAAGCCGATCTTTAGTAGCCGGAATTACATCATACTTAGTAGTATGATGAGCATCCCTCCAAACCTGATCTCCGGGCAGATTTTGTCCTGGCGACCCACGTTAAGATCTTTTATTGGCGTAATCTCTGCCGTTGCATGAATCTCCACCTCCGTTTAACTCCTACCCAGCTGATCCTGCACTCTTTTTCAGTGAACTGTAGCGCTAGCGTGATTCTACCTTGCCAGGATTTATATGAATCTCCTAGTACCACTGGCCTTTGGTGTGACTCTTGGATGCGGCATCGATCCTGCATGAATCTCCACCTCTGTCTGACGTCTACCAGCTGACCCTCCCCCCCAGATTGCTCGTGAAGCTCCGGTGCCAGTACGATCCTAGACTACTAGGATTTACATGAATCTCCTAGTACCACTGGGCACTGGTGCGACTGGTCCCTAACGCGGCACCACTACTATGTAATGTCACCATCAGCAGACTTGCCACCGGCGATCTCCCCTTGCAGTCCAGCTGATACGATTGCCCCTCGCATGGCATGCCATGATCCCCCTCCTAAACCGTAGTAACCCCTTCGTAGGGTAATCTTGCAGCGGCATGAGTCTCATAACAATCAACCTGCGAACCAGTCATCCCAATCCGCCGCAGTTATCCAACTAGCCGCTGAGGTGGAACTGGTACAAGCCCCTTCCGGAAGTAATGCCGCATGTGCGTGAATCAAACCCGCCATCAGAGCACCTTGGCCCCTTGCCTTCTACCAGCAGAACAAAAACCAGGAGAAAGAGAGAAGAAACACGTAAGGAAAGTATAATATAAAAAGATCCACAGTAAAGAGGAGTAAATTAAATGTTACTGGAATTCGTATTTATATAAAATCGCCCTTATAGACATTAAGGAGACGTTATAGAATGATGAGTTAGAACGGCAGAGCAAAAGGTCACGTGCAACTGGTTCCAGGACGACTATCCATTTTACAGTGATCTAAAGCCTATACTTATAGACATCCAAATGGTCCCTATTGCTACTGAAAACCCCTTAAAAACCCCTGTATAGCTGAACAGCTGTGCCTGCACAGCTGAATTGCCATAGTAGCCTTAGGCACCTATTTCCAACATGATGAGGCTGAGCTACTCATCACGTGAATATAAGCGAACGTGGATCCAAAAATGGTTCCGGAGGAATCTCGGTCGCAAGGGAGCCAAAATGGGATCTGTCCTCACAGATCCAATGAGGAAAGTTTAACCGGGCATCAAGGGAGCCAGAATGAGCCCCTTTGAGAGCTAAAATGGCCTCTTAGCGTATGCTCAGGCTGACTTTGCCGTGTGCTCAGGTTGCTCAGGCCGAGCTCAGGCCAAGCTCAGGAACGCTCAGGAATGCTCACCCTCGGCTCAGGTTAAAGCAGCAGCTGCTCACGTCCAGATACTAAAACAGAACCAGCGAAAAAAAAAGTTGAGTCTGACTTTGGTAATAGTTTTGGGGAGCTACTGGCACTATTAAAGTCCTTCTCACTACCAGGACATTCTTTACACCTTACTATCTAGAAGTCCCAGTAACGAGTAGATAAGGATCTTATTCCGAAGCACCCTCGAATCCCATAATACCCTGATTCTTACTATGTGGAATTTGCTTTCCCCTTCCATAAATAATATTCTTATAAAACCATAGCTAAGAATTAAGGTTTCAAGAGCGAATTTTTATTCTTTATTATAAGTATAAATATAATTATATCTAATAGGACTAATAATAATAAGTTTACTAGTCAGGAATATTATCCTAGTAGGAGAACTCGCTAAATATCTTTATTAAATAGGTATTTAGGGATTTGCTTAAATATAAACTCAGGTTTACTTCTTAATAATTAAAGCCCTTAATATCTTCCCTATTTATCTAATTTTACTAAATTATTTATATAAGGTTTAATATTTTTCAAAAATCTCTATAAAGAACCTCGATATTCGAGACTCGAACTAAAGTAGATATAGCTTATAAATAAATAAAAGCCCCTCCCAAAATCTAGTAAAGCTATTTAGTATATTTCTCAAAACTCCGGGAAATAAGTTTATAATTAAGGATAATTTATTTTTATTTAGCTATATTCTTTACTAATACCTAAAGTAGTTTTTTGAGTCTAAATTTTGTCCTATCCTATAGAAATACCTTTTTATTTTCTTATTTTACTTTTAAAATAATAAAAAACACTATAAGACTATAGTATCTAAATTTGTCCTTATTATCTAGAACTTCTCCCGTTAGCTATCCTTAGATTAAACCCGCTAGGAGATTCCCCTTCTCTATAGCTATAATTAGCCTTATAATTTATATTAATTACCTATAGAGATCTATTCTAATATTAAGAATATCTCTATTTTATAATATAATAATAAACCATTAACCTTCCTCTAATAATAAGTACTTGCTAAAGTAGCAAAACCATCTATCTAACCCTACTATAATTATCCGGGAGACTTATCTAGAGAACAGGTTTCGGCAAAACGGGCCGCTAATCCACAAGACGACTTTTAGCCGACTCTTCTTTCGGAAGGCAAATATATTACAAGTAGTTCTAATTCCTTTTCCTAGTAATATGCTTTACTTTATTCTCTTTTACTTTAAGAGATAAGATCGGATACTAAATATATCTCTATCTAGTAGTATGTAGCCTCGGTAACGCACACACCTTCGCTCACTGCAGTCACTGCAACTTGCTTATAAATCATGACGTTTGGGGTTGTGGTTGTAGTGGACCAAAACGTGGTGCATTTGGTCTTGGAGGTGGAGCGCATATTCTTGAGAGGATTCTGTGTACACCAAGTAGTTGCAACCAGGACCGAGGTAGATATTGTGAAACTCGATTGCACCTTCGACATGAGCTCCGACGGGCTAAGAGATTCATCAGCCATTTATCCTGCTTGGATTTGAGGAGAAAAAAAGACAGGTGCGGAAGAAGGATCGCCTACGTGGACGTGGAGTCTGCCAAAGTACGAGCCGAACTCTTTCTGCTTCTCAACGCCAATGTCCTTGAAATCCTGGCCTCGAAAGACGACGACGCCTCGCTCGGCGATCAGAAGCGCAAGTTCGTCTTTCTGGATATCAGTCAACTCGGAGAGCTGAACGCCTTTGATCTCTGTCCCGATGCGAGGAGTCAATTTCGTGACCTCGAGCCCGGTGTTTTGAGGATCGAGAAGGTGCGTTTTGGATTGATCGGCTTTGACTCCGCGGTCGACGAATTCAAAGGGCTCGGTAGGTGGGAATTTGGTAGTTTCATCGTAGACGGGAAGGTAGTGCTCGTATTTGTACTGTGAAATATTAAGATCGGGTCAATGTTGGGAAGTGCGGATTTACAGAGGTGTGTTGAGAGGGGTCGAAGGCACGATTGAGCTTTAGCTCGGCAATTTCTTGCAATGATTCCTGACTGGGAACTTCTTGAGCAACGGAGGGAGCCATGTTGTTGATTCTGGTAGATATTTGGGAGGGGGTTGCAAATATAATAGAGTTATGGAGTGGATAATAAATATATTTTCGATGTTGTACTTACTAACCCCACTAATTGCTCATTTGGTCGCGAGATGATACCATCCACACGAGCTCATGGGCAGCAGTTCATCATTGGCTGTATGTATCTAACTGTTCGATAACCCCGGGCAACCCCCATTTCAATCCCTGAGATGCCATTGGTAATTCGACGTTTGGACGCCGACTTCGCTCCAAAAAGCTGTCTGTGATCATGCTCTTGTAGGAATTGGCATATGTTCTTGTAAGCACACCATCACATACAGCCAAGATTGGATCTTTGATACTGGGAGATTCCAGTTAGCTTCAGCATCCGCCATAGAATCTCATGTTATTAGCTCCTTGCTTGACGGAGCTGTGCTTTGTTGTTATCCTCGGAGATAATCTTGACGCTCCGACTTCTCCGAACGTTCTATGGTCAGAAAAGTAGGGCACAGAGAGTGGGGAGACGAGAGAAAGGCAATGAATTGTAAATACATATTAGCTAAAAATGAATAATAATACGCAACAACATAAAATGAGAAACCATCACTTGATCAAAGAGTCAGAGAGCAACTTTGCACCAAAGCTTAGCAACGAAGCCTTTAAGTGGTGGAATGGGATGGATAGCAGCGGCTACAGTAACTACAGCCAGAGATCGCAGGTATGCAAGTGGCAGAGAGGCTCAACAAGATATGTTAGGGGTTCATAAACAGCCAAAAGCTCATATATCACTGCGGAGCAAAGCAGCGCCACTCCAAAATCTCAATGCTGGGCCTTTTCCGCCTCTTTCATTTTCCTCCCCACCTCGGCATCAATCCTCTTCCAGCAGCCCCATCCTTCGATGAAGACGCTAGCCATCCACTTCCACCAAAGCGCCGACCCTCTCTCCACACCATATTTTCTGAGCTTCGTCCGATCCAACAAGAATGCTTCTGTAAAATGTATCGCCAACATCGGATAAAAGACTTTGTCTACAGTCCATAGATATGATTCCGGTCCGCCAGGCCACCACGGCAAAACCTTATCGTAGAAGAATGTCCCCGGAACCATCATGTGTTTCGTAGCAAAGTTGACATATGCCATTGCGCAAAGGCCGAAAACGATAATGTGGGCGGGTTTTCGTGGAGGAAGGTAGGAGGTGAGTTTTATGGGGGAGATGTCGAGGGCAGAGCGGGCTTCGCGGTCCATATCCACTGATCGTGTGCGAGCTTCGGCGAAGGAGGCCATGGGAGGCTTCAGTGAAATTATGTGGGTTTTGCCGTCGGTGGTCTCGAAGGTCATGGCGGAGAGAGAGATATCGGTCATGATGGCGCCGCGGGCGGAGCTTGCAGAGAGCTTGCGGTAGTGTCGGAGGTAGAGGGAGATCGAGTCTGCGTGGTCGTTGTTCATGTGTTTGATGATGCGCTCTGCCATGGCGGTGTCCTTGGCTCTTTGGTCCGCCATTGTGATGCGATATTCGAATGGTCGTGGGTCAATTGAGTTCGAGGAGCTGGAGGAGGAAATGTATGCTCTGTTGCAGAGGTCGTGATGCTTCTATACGAGCTATATGGAGTTGTTGTATTGTTGTAATTTGGAGGAATCGAGGTCGGCGAGATGTTCGGGGGATCTGGCTTCGGCTGTGTGAGGATTCTCAATGAAATCTTCCACTACGAAATCCGAAGAACGACAAACATGGCTCCAAACATGTGGTCTTCAGCCCCTCTCTCTCCTTTCACACTTCAGTCAACAGCCAATTCCAGGCACAACGGTCTGAAAAGGGGTTCGCAAAGTGCCGCACATTGTCACAAACAGTATCATGTCATCGTACCCCACTTCTGGGGTCAACGGCACCCACCCACCTGGAGAATCGGGGGACTCCATCACATTGCCAGGAAGAAATCCTGATTCCTCCTTCGACCCGCTATCCGCAGCTTTATCCTCCTCTCAGGTTAGATATACCGTTGCAAACCCAAAGAGCTTGGAGGCACACAATGAAGCGTGCAAGGATTTTCCTGGTGGAAATACGAGGACTGTGCTACACTCCAGCCCGTTTCCAATCACATTTGGTCAGTATTCCACACCAGGTATAATTCAGATCCGAGAGGCAAACAAACACTAACACTCAATAGTGAAAGGCGAGGGCTGCGAGCTGACGAGTCTGGATGGTGAAGTTTACATCGATTTTCTCGGGGAATTCACTGCCGGAATATATGGCCACTCCAACCCCGCGATCGCTGCGGCCGTCTCTGAGGCGATGAAGAACGGTTGGAACTATGGAGGGCCGAATATGTATGAAAGAGCTCTTGCAAAGAAGGTGAACTGCTTGACTTCGTTTTCATGTCACGTGTGGTCTTTGTCTTCCGGCAGGCTGATCCGATTTTCCAGGTCACCAAGCGCTTTTGTCCTTCCGGCATCGAGCTCGTCCGCTTCACCAACTCCGGCACTGAAGCCAACACAATGGCCCTTGCCGCAGCAGTCGCTTATACCGGACGAACGAAGGTTCTAGCATTCAAGAACGGATATCACGGCGGCACACTTTCGTTCCCGCTCACCACCAACAAAATCAACGCCAATCTTCCGCATGACTTCATTCTCGCACCGTATAACAACATTTCCGGCACTCAAACTATTCTGGACAGCCTACCAAAGGACTCCCTCGCCGCCATAATTGTGGAATGCATTCAAGGAAGCGGCGGCGCTATTCCTGGCAACGAAAACTTCCTCCACTTCCTCAATACCAGAGCCAATAAGTTGGGTGCACTCTTTATCGTCGACGAAGTAATGACCTCTAGGCTCTCCTACCATGGCCTCTCCTCCGAACTTGGCCTGACACCCGACCTCGTTACACTGGGGAAATGGGTCGGCGGAGGCATGACGTTCGGCGCATTCGGTGGCCGAAAGAGAGTGATGAGCATGTTTGACCCTCGAGACGGTGTACTGGCACATTCGGGGACATTCAATAACAATGTTGTCACTATGGCTGCTGGATGTACGGGCATCAATCTGTACAACGAAGCCGAAGTCAAACGCCTCAACGCACTCGGCGATTCTCTCCGGACTGGCCTCCAAGCAATTCTGTTAAGGTCTTGCCAAATTGACCAAGAACAGCCAGCAGTCTTCAAACCCTGTCCGCAAAAAAACGAACTCGAATCTCCCTTTACTGGCACCCAATGTTATACTTCCACTCCAGACACTGCCCTTTCCGTCGAATCCCTCTCGCTCTCCGAGCCTCGCAATACGAAGTCGAAGATTGCGCACCATTCGAGAAAAGGAGGAATGTGGGTCTCTGGTCGCGGAAGTATAATGAATGTACATTTTTCTGGCGAGAGTGAGAAAAGTCTGCAATCAATTTTTTGGCATTATATGCTTGAACAGGGTATTTACCTCGCTCAGAGAGGTTTCGTGGCTTTGAATATTGAGATAAATGAGAGTCATGTGGAGAAGTTCTTGAAAGCGGCAGAGGGATTTGTTGGGATGTACCAGGGTGGCCTGGGACATTGAGCGAAAATCTTCAAATCTGAGGGAAACAATATGATTATACTTGCATACGAGTCGCTTAAAGACTTGCAATATTCGTCTCGAATTCTGTTTCCACTTTAGGTAGAATATTTTAAAGAAGACTAAATGCCCACTTCTGTAACTCAGATGTTTCTATTTACTTCTTTCACGTGGCTACGGGTGGCAGTACTCGAAGCCCTGCGAAATCAATCGGTCGTACTGGCACTCGAAGAAATATATCCTGCCTCAAGAGCGTCCGATATCCTCTCTCGGTGCCGATAATACGAGTAAAGTTTCACCAGTAGCCCACTACCAATTGGCAGTTCGTTGTCAAACTATATTACTGTTAAGCATACGTTCAAAATTTTTCGCAAAGTGTTTCCAATAGATTCTCCTCGGGTCTGGTTTCAAATCCGTCTTTTCAGCAGCGGTGTTAAGCACTCCTAAAGCTTGAGGACTTGCCAGACGCTAAGCACCCCCCGGGCATTGCCACGCGACCTCGATGTTCCAAAGTTGAGAAATAAAGGGGCAGACCCAGGTTAAGGAGAAGTGCGCTGCTTTACTTGAACTTTGTGGCAAAGTAAATGATTATCAAAGGAAGCGAGTGAGCCGAATCCTTGTGCAGAATTTCCAGACGTTCTGACCCATGATAGATTATAATTTCTCATTCGGGAGGGAATAATATCATCGATAGACAGGCAGGTCGAGTTCAGACAAAAAGATTTGCTTTCAGGGACCGCAGCTTAGAAGTGCCCAAACACTTGAATTCCTCTCAAACCCCTTTCCATTTGGCAGCAGCTTTCACTCGACCTTGACGGTCCCATGCACTCACAACCACAAGGCACAGGGTGAACTTCGCCCCAGGCCAGCCCGTTCAGAATAGTTTCTTCCAAGGTGAGGTACTACTTTCATCTTGTCGGTTCGCAATATTCATCACCGTCATCGACTCTCGATATTTCGAGGCGCTTAAGCGAGGCCATCTCAACACAAAAACGAACCTTCTCCCACTGCCTTTCTTTTCTTTCGTCTTACAGCCCCTTCCACCACGTCAAATCCTCCGCCTTTCTTGCTTTATTCTACGCACTTCGCCTTCCATCTGCCTCTTGCAACCCCATCCATCAGCCACAACTTTTCATCCATCAAACAATATCCTTCATGTAGCGCAGCTCCCCAGGTTGCTTGCATCTCGTCTTTCCTCAACGGGGTAGCTTCCCTTGCACCACCCCAATCCTCTATCCCGCGTCTACTCTTCTTCGCATCTCACCTTAATACACAATACGGAAGCGGTTCTGCTGGCCTTGCGGTCTCGGTGCGTCATAGGCTCTATTGCGGAATCTGTCTCACCTCTGCCTCAGTGGCAATCACTACCTTTGATCATCGACTTATCTTAAAACGTCCTCCCTTCAACACAGTCGATCTCCGAACGGGAAAGGTGATTCAGCATTCTAGACATTGCATTGAACATCTCAATCATCGTGGTCCGCTCGCCTTTCACCTCACGTTATACAGCCTCAACTTCAACTTCAAGTTGAGCAGCCGTCTTTTTGGTTTTGCAAAGCCACCATTCTATCGCCTCCCGTTCACATTCACCTCGAGTGGCATTGGCAAGCGTACTTCCCCCCTCATTTCAACGCTATCCTCCGCATCAACAGTCACCTTCCCGCATGACACAAAAGTATCTCCATGCTGAGAAAATGCCGGAACCTCTAGTGAAAGTAGAGGGCGACTTGCCGCCGGTGCAGGTGAGCAATTCCATGGACGCGGACAAACAGATTATGGACGAGCCTGGAGCCGCACAGGAGGCAACAAACATTCCCGCGAACGCGAACCCATCCCCTACGTGTCCAGAAGCGCATACAACCAATAAAATAGAACCTGTATGGAAGCTCTGCGATGACAGGCCTCGAGTCAAGCAAGTCAAAATCAATGAAGAAGCTGCAGAGCACTCACGAAAATACTTCGAAAACTTGGAAACCCTTCTCAAGAAACATTCCAGCGAGGTCGTTTCGTGCAAGACCAGACTCAAGGAAATTGGTAGGTCGTCCGATAAACTCCTTATTCTAAAAGTCCCGTGGTGGCATTTATCTTCTCCGGATGCTAACAAACGGACAGCTGCAATACACAAGCGCAAGAAAAACTGCGAAGTTCGCATCGGCTTTCTCGGAAGCACTGGTACAGGGAAAAGTTCTTTGATCAACGCCCTCCTCCATATGGAAGTTTTGCCGAGAAATGAAGAGGTTGCGAGCACTGCAGTCCCCGTTGAAGTTTCATACAACATTGATAACGAGCCTGAACATCTCTTCAAAGCCGTCATTGAAGGTATCAGCAAGGAAGAATTCACAAAAGAAGTGAAAAATCTCTTTAAGAACAAAGAAATCTACGATAAAGTTCCTGCAGGAGAAGACGATGAGGTTGATATCGAAGCTTATCAACAAATGCTCACCACTATCGAAAAGATTAAGTGGGTATATCCATATTTGCAAACCGTCGATGATATCGACAATACATCAGCGGAGGTTCTTCTCAATGAGCAGCACGTTCAAAAGATGCTGGACTCCAAGGAGGAAGTGCAAGCATCCTCGGAACCATCATTTGCTCGCGGTATCAAAAAATACATCGAGTCGAGCAAGCCCAAGCAGGGAGATAAAGCTGCAATTTCCTTATGGCCACTGGTCAAGGTTGTTAGAGTCTACGTCAAATCTGATATTCTGAGGTGCGGAATCATTCTTGTCGATCTTCCTGGTTCGCACGATACAAGTGTGGCAAGAGTTGCCGTAGCCGACAACTACCGCAAGAATCTCACTGCGTCGGTAGTTTGTGCGCCTGCAGTAAGAGCCGGCAGTGACAGAGTTGCTCAAGAGCTACTCAGTTCAGTTGAGCGGAGGAACATGCAGCTGGATGGTCTATACACGAGCGATTCGTTGTTCTTTGTCATTACCAAGATTGACGATCTGATGGATTACAAAGCATACATCAGAGATCATGAGAACTTGCAGGACTCGAACAAAAATGATATGCAGCGAATTCGAGACAAGACGCAGAGTGTTTCAGAACTGAGATGGGAGGTTGGCAAGAGAGAACCAAAGCTTCGGAAGAATGTGGAAAACCTTGGTAAGATGAATAAAGCACACGAGAAGCTTGCCACTCGGGTTACCAAAATCTTGGAAGACATGGCTCCGGCTGGACACAAGCGAAAGCGCTTGGATGATGTTACAGGTACGGCATATATTACCACTGCAAGCCCCAACATCTGCCCTTACTCATATTTCGCAGCATCCGACGAATCTGATCTCAAGGACACCCAGAAGGATCAGATCCAAAAGTTGCGAGCACTCACAGACAAGCGGTCAGAGCTTACTCCCATCGTTGACAAAGAAGTGGGAGATCTTTACACTCTCAACCAGAAAATTCAGTATCTACAAGAAGAAATCCAACAAGCTAAGAGTAGAGTCACCAAGTCATGCATCCAGAATCGTGCTCAGATTCATGTTGAAGCCGCCAGAAATGAGTATGAGATAGCTAGACGAATGATGGGTCAACAAAATTCTGAGAAGCCTTTGGAAGTCTTTAGCGTCTCTTCAGCCGCTTTCACTCGACATTGTGGGGAGAATGCAGAAGAAGCCATAAGCAAAGGATTCTCAACCAAAGCTGACACGGGAATCCCCGCTCTTAGGGATGCACTGATCGGAATGACATGGGGGATCCGCCAACATAATGCTCGATCATTCAATGAAGATGTTGAGAGCTGCCACAATCGTATGAAATTGTGGTCAGCAGATACTTCTTCCGAATATAAGATGCTAGAGCAAGAGAAAGTAATTGTACAGGATCGAATGGATGCAGAAATCGAGAAGCTGGAGGTAGTATGTTTCTCCTGATGGAAATCTAATCCGTCGCTGAATATTGTTCTAACCTGATATCTCACAGGTATTCTCGGATTTGCATACAACCACTTGCGAGGAAATCAATCAACTTATTGACAACGACATCTACGAAATTCTCGAAGAGTGTGCAGAATATTCTGCGACGGAGGCCATGAGAAAGGTTACACTAGACTGGTGCCTAGTGCCTTGGAACACGCATAAATCGATCAACAGAAACATGGGGGAATGGATAAGCTCTAGGAGAGTTTGTTATGACTGGAACGAAGATTTGTAAGTTTAGTCTTCGATGGTGCTGTGTAAACTTGTTTGACATCCATAGGGCTGGCCTTTTCCTGGACCCACTCATCATGTCTTGGACTAAGACCTTCCATACAAAACGCCCCGAACTACTTAAGAGATATGAGACACAAGTAGATGAGCTTATCGAGGCTTTTACGGAGTCGCTGTTGACTTCTGCTCGCGATTTACACCCAGCAATCGACGAAGCGCTTCAATCTTTAAGGGAAAACATTCTCGGTCTCCGCACTATGCTTAAGGACGAAGCAGCTGCTATCTTTGAAGGGATCAACAAAGCATCGAAGGAAGCTCACCGAACTGTAAAGCCTGCAGTCTTGGCTGCTTGGAGAGATATCTATAATCAGTGCGGATGCGAGTGTGGAAAAGGATTATTTCACCGCAATAAGAGAGCCCACAGAGAACATGTGAAAGGCGATGGAGGGAAGGCTATGTACCAGAGTGCTGGAGAGGAAATTCGCGAGACCCTTGAAGAGCTTCTGGAAAAGCTGCAAGAGAAGTTCGATTCAAGTTACGATGTTGTCGACACTCAACTCAGGGAAGATCTTGTGGTTGTAGTCGAGAGACACAGTATAAAACCAGTACAGACGACCCTTTCTCCAGATGCTTCGCTTGCGAAGAAAAGATTGCAACAATCTCTCCAGCCTCATTTTGAGGAGCTGGAAAAAGCTTGGGGAATTGAGCCTGAGATTGAGAATACCGAAAATGATGCATCCGAACCGAAAGAAACAGCGCCCACTTTGGAGGTTGAAGATGAAGACATATTTGACTTCAATGAGGATGATTGGCTCTGAGTCGAGAGTGTCCTCAACAATCATCGACCTGTAATTTCTCTCTCAAAAGTCTTCCATGTTCTTCAACATCACAAAGTCCACGATCTGGCGCCGGGGCTTTTGGCAATCTCCCTTGAAACTGCAAAGTTTTCTAGTTGATCTGGAATAGATCGTGGTAACATTTATCCGCAATGCAGATTTTGGATACCAACGTCCTATTCACATCATAACACACTCTTCCATAATTTCTTAAGCAAGTTTTCCTTTGTCTTCATTACACTCCACGGGAAATTGAGGGAAGGTCGGGGAAAGAGTAGTTGCACCTAGTTTCCCTCGCAGATAGGAAATTCAAATAGGCCGTATTTCAAAACTCAGGTCGTGATTATGCTTGCATTGCTTTCTGACTTTATGCAATCCTTCCGCTACCCCGATCACACTACAGGAAGATCTCACAATTACTTCCAGGCTCTCATTCCTATCAAAGATTGGGTGGGGCAATCAAGTTGCCCGACTTTGCCGTACACCCAAACCAATTTGCTCTTTATGAACCAAAATCAATTGAGTAAAGAAGAGAGGTCGATTCCGCTCGGGTTATCCTATTATAGAGAGGAACAAAATATGATAATTTCCAGGTTATTATTTTACTCAAGCCATTATTTTACCCTTGCTTCAGTGTTTGCTTATACTTATTCAGTGTATGAATTTCCCCCCTTCACTCTCAGCATATGTTTCCCCGCTTCCAAATCTGCTTGAGATTGGCCTTTTCAACATAACAATAATAATAGATCGACACCTGCCTGAAACAAAACTCTAAATTCAACCACAAACCTCTGCCTTTGCAACTCAGTCTTCCTAGCCAAAGGAAAAAATCTGGGCAACCGAGACTTAAAATGTAAAGGCCTGTACTTGCACTCTCTGCATTTCTAAGTCAATACAACGTCACCTAGACTGCATTCCCGTTTCCTAACCAAAAGCGTAAATATAACAACCGCGCGTTTACTCTGTTTCTTGACCGGAATTTCGATACTTCCCAACCCACTGGCCCGTGTGGCCCCGAAAATGCCCCCTTTCCCAGCCAGCGGTCCCAAATCTGTTCCCACCATATTCCCTGACAGTTATTCTGGTCTGCCTGTCTTCATGCGTGGAATCTTTTTCTACAACTTCAGGATACTTTGTGCCGTCCTCGCATTTTGCCTAGGGCCCCGTGATCTATAAATAACCGTTTCCCTCTTGCCTTTATATCTTTTCTCTTTAGCTTCATACCCATATTCTCGCACATCTCCTTACTTGCCTTCTGACCCAGATTCTCACATTATCTCTCTATATATATCCTTGCACCCATATGCCCTCCCTCTTCGCCTCTCCCATTTCTCCCAGAAGGCCTTCTTTTTTCGTTTCTATTTCAGATATTCATATTCGCATTTGCACAGTTCTGCAAGCCATGAGCACTAAGTAGGCAAAAAGATATTAGAGAGGGCTAAATCCAGACGAGTAGATAGAGGCAGCCATAAGGGATAGGTTAGACAGGCGCTTATCTTCGCCTTCCTCTCTGCTTATTATTGATGCCCTTAATGAGTGCGACAATGAAGCCCACATTAAGATAATTCTGCAGCTCCGAGCTAAAACCCGATTCCTTCTCACCAGCAGACCTGAAATTTTAATTCTCTATGGCATGTTCCATATCCCATAATCTGAACACCAGGACTTTGTTCTCCAAAACATACCTCCGGCGATTATCAACCATGATATCTCCCTATTCCTGAAACACAATCAGGGGATAATTGGGCAGGAGTGGACCCTCGGATCGGGCTGGCCTGGCGAGCAGGCTCTAAGACAGTTGGTTCTATATGCTAGTGGACGCTTTATCTGGGCAGCAACGGCCTGTTGGTTCATCCGTGAAGGGAAGAGATTTGTTTACAAGAGACTGGATACAATTCTCAAAGGAAGCAGCAGCGCTACACCAGTAGCAGAGAAGCACTTCAACGAGATATATCTTGCCGACCTCGGGTACTATATCTATCCAGAATATACAGACGAAAAAAGGATGAGTTATGTGGCACGTTAAGAAATACGCTTGGAAGTCTAGTAGTCTTGCCCTCGCCTCTTTCGACGTTTTCATGGAGCAGATTACTACAGCTCCCAAAAGATGCTATTGATCAGACACTTGAAGATCTTGCAAAGGTCCTGTAAATAGCAGAAATAGTATTCAGCAAAAGCGTATTCAGTCGAAACATATTTATATTCCAAATCCCGCACAAGCGTTGTCAATCTCGCTCACACTCACCCTCTGTACAATTGTTCCATTCAACCCAAACACTAATGCACCGCCCTCCTTATAGCTTGGCCACTCAACTCCTTCTAGCCTGGCAGTCGGATCCTGCATTTGCATAAACACATTATTCTGCATAGACTCAGAAACTGCGACCTCCTCCGGCGTACTGCTCCCGCGAAAATCCCCATGCGTCCCAAAGACAGGCGGCAAGTCCGATAAGTGATACGCACCCAGCCACGGCCGAGGTGACACGTTGCTGAAGTTTCCAGCGTACTGAATGCGATACGTTGTTAGATTGAGCTTCGCACGCAGAACAGAAGTTTAGACTGCTGGACGGAGGAAGTATAGTAGGGTCGCAAAATCCACAACGGTCTGATTAGGCGGCTGCCCCACCGCAGACGAGCCAGGTGTCCCAGGGTAGGGAACGGCGACAACACCCTCGTTTGTTGTCGTGGAGACTATTGCCGGACGATCCGCAACGAGACCCTTTTCATACCTTTCCGTGTAGTTGGAGAATACAAGAACTTCGTCTGCAGTGGGGTTAAAGCGTAGAGGAGCCAGAGTTGGATCTACGAGGGTGAAGTTATCCATATATTGGCCGACAAAGTTCTGTAAATCGTCGCTAGGCACGGTACGCATGCAATCTAGTTCTTGGGATGAATCGAGTCCTGCACAGCCGAAATGAGTGGCGACAAAGGAGAAGTTTTTATGCCCTGAATCAGACACGACGATTGGCTGATAGGCGTTCCCGCTGGACATATAGAAGCTCGAGGCGATGGGGTCGTTGGGAAAGGCGAAGTTTTGGAAATCGACCGAATCTGCACCTGCGGACTGGCCCTGGGAACAGTCAGCGAGAAGTGCAGGGTCAAGCTATATCCACGTACCCAGAGCATGATTCTGCTCGGATTCCCTCTAAATGCTGCGATGTTGTCACGCACCCACTCGAGCCTGCTGCTGATTTAGCCATGCCCTCGGCTTGCAACTCTATCAGCTACTTACGCCATCCGCTGATCTAGCAGACCAATATTTTGTATTTCAAGCCCCGCGGCATCAGGGAAGCCCATGATATTCAAACGATAACTAGAAGAAAGCCAGAGACGTGTCCTAGTCCTAGCGGCAGTCTAGTACCGACTTGATAGTAACGACGATATGGGCCTGAGTCCGCTCGACCCAGTGATGTGGGAGCTGGTACGGAATGTTTATCCCGCCCGTTAAGAAGCCTCCCCCGGTGATGAACATGATCACCGGTAGATTGGAAACCTCGAGGCCAGCCGGGGTCCAGACAGCCAAGTACAGGCAGTCTTCCGATGTCTCGGCCGCAGACGCTCCAGCAGTAGTGCCTTGGCTATCCGTGAAGATCTGGAACTCGGGAACATCCTGTGATTGTACCGTAGGAACCCTGGACACATATTGGGGACATGAAGGTGGGAATGTGGTGGCATCGTAGGTGGAGCCGGAGTTCGAAGAGGGCTTGATTGGGGGAAGCCAGCGGCGGGATTCAGTGGGTGACAGCGCATAGGGCATTTTTAAAAATTGGCGGACGTGTGGGGCGATGTCAGTGATAATACCAGTGTATGTCCCTGAAACTGACGTCACCACGACCTCGTCGCATGGACCAAGAAATGGGAGCGAAAGCACATGGCTTGAAAAAAACGGAAGCAAGACAACGGAGAGGCGGAGGCATAACATTATAGCGGTACGCTCGCAGGCGCGAGGTGGCGGATCAACGACCTGTTGCTAAAAGCCATCTCAGCGCCCTCTTTTTATATTACTAGTAATCCACAGAGGCTACGTACTTGTAAGTGGAGCAGCCGAGCAAATTACCGGCATAAGAGATTATCACCCAGCTCTTATAAAGGTTGAGTAGTATTCGGCAGGGTTCTCGTTTTCGTATCCACATAAGGTTTTTTGCTCCGTACCTTAATCGTGCGTCAAGACTTGCACCAAAGCCCCTACATCCCTGTGGGTTTAGTGCGTATCAGCGATACGGTCTCTTTTTTCCCCCAACAAAAAGAATCTAGAATTTGAAATAACCTTACAAAGTAATAAAAGATCTTTAAACAAAAAATTATACAGAGGTGCGCCCGATAATTACGCAATTTTTGACTTCTTTCAATTTTGAGAAATTGAGGAAGTAATTACAAGGCATGGCAGTATTGCTATAATAAGACCATATCACTGATCTGCACTAAACCTGCAGGGACGTAGGGGCTTTGGTGCAAGTCCTGACGCACAATTACTTACAGAGAAAATTGATATGTATGCTTAAAGCTGAACGTTCATTTTCAGGAGGGGCGAGCGCTTACTAAGTTAGAGGTACCAAGTTAATTTAAGCTGGATTGATTAGCGTTCTGGGATTAGCTAGAGAAGCTCCATCTTATTGCCTCATATGCCTATAAACCAGCATAAAGCTTAACAGAGCAAGAAGCTTAGATTTATCCTTAGCAAGAGATAAAGCTTGCATTAGCGAAGATGATGTGAGATCCATAGCCTTAGCTCGAATCATCGCCCCATTAATATATCTTTTTGACAAGCTCTGGTGGATCGTCACCTGATCATAGTGGATATTCTTATGTGATTATGGTATGCACTTAACACCTATACGCTAAGCGATGCTTAGTGCGTATCAGAGGTATAAATGCTGTAATTATACTCAGACATCCTTTTTCTTTCTCTCCTTAGCATCGTATTCTTGTAAATACAACTCCTCCTACAAAGACTCTTTATTGCGCGAGGCTCCACCTCGTAGAGCTGTCACGCCATTGGCAAGTACCTCCCATTCTAAGCGAAACCGCCAATCAAAGTGCACGTGTATGAGGCTTCAATTCTAGTGATAGGAAGGAAGAAAGGCTGGTCTTGATGCCCATAACCGTCTGATGGCGTCTGCCTTCCTTGGAGGGCGTCTGCAAACGAGAACGAGAACAAGAACGAGGCCAATAAGAAGGGGGCTTGTCTCCACTGTCATGCAAACCTGAACAGTTGAGTCACCGTGCAGGGACCAACCATGACTCTCTGTCACATTATATTGTAAGGTGCCAGAAGTGTTTGGCCTGGCATCTGCACGACGAGCTTATTCGTGGGATATGAGGCAAATGCGTCAACCCTCAAAGAGTCTTTGTCGTAATCGCACAGAACGCACTCTCATTGGACGTTGGAAGGATGAGGATAAAAATAAACGTCCCATTACTGGGGTCATTAGCGAGCTAGAGGACCAAACACAGAAGCGAGTTTTAATTTCGCAATCTTTAAAAATTAATTAAAATAGAACCACTTAGCTCTTTTGCTCAAACTTAAGTAATTCGAAATACTCTCTATTAACATAGTATACTTTTAAAGGGGGGTGGAGCGTGGTCTATGTTGTCGGGTCGACCTCTGCGCAAGATAGTGCTTGCACTTCTCGTGTATTGGGCCGATATTTGATGAGGATGGTCGTTTCCTCGTAGCAGGACATGGTTCCTAATCATCGTCGTCCAATTCAGGATTGTTATATTAGCTCATTGCTGCAATTATTGCTATAGCTCAACAACTTGTCCTGACTTGGCTCTAGAGATGGATTATGGTAGGCTAACTCTACGCCTTTATTCTTCTTGCTAGATAGGAGAGTATTGCAAACTACTCCGGTTGTTATCGCTGCTATTGTATCTTCTTTTACTTCTTGCTGTGGGTTGCTTGCTATTCTTGTTGTTGTTATCGTAGCCTTTATTTTCTTGCTTTTTCTCTATTCTCTCAGTTAAGATATTGGAAAGTAGTCGATTAGGAGCACGTTTAAGGCTCCCTCCTCGGGCTAATTGCTTAAACCAGCAGGTTCTTTACATCATAGGCCCCGCGGTCTGTGTACAATATATTATAAAAGCACACAACTCATATCCTTTTGAACTCTAGTAGATTCTACCTGATACGAAGGAAAAGGAGGATCGAGTACTTGTTATTGATAATAGGGCAGACTGCCCTTTATCTCAGATTTCGGAACATCGGGAGTTGAACTAGGTTCTGAGGAGAAGTTTCCATAACGCTTGATCGTATTGACATGCGCCGAGCTTTGTAAAATCAGTAGTATTAGCAACAAGAAGCTTATTGACAGCAACCCACTTAAGCCCATTATTGCTACTCCCCTTTTTGAGAGCTTCTCTTGGCCAATGGCTTCTCCAACCCATAGCATGACTTTCTGCGATCGCTCGGACGAGAACAAAGCTTCCACGTTTTAAATATGGGAGCTTGGGTGAAGTGAAGCTGCTTGGGAAACTGTATAATGATACGCCTGTACGGTACAATGCTTCAGTTACTGATTTTATAATTGACAAAAATGTGGGGTCAAGCTACCGAAGCATGATTAGTTTTGGAAGCCGAGGTCTCTCGAGAATCGCCCAGCAGGTGACTCAAATTTGAGTGCATGACAACCTAGCGGCGTTCAAAGACCCTCCTTCGCGCGTGATAGGAGGAGTGGTATGGCAAGGAGTCAAGGACTCGTCATCTAAGATCCAGTAATTTTCTAAAAGAGCGATCTAGGATTTGCCTAACAGTTCTCTTGTAGTAAGCTGCTACGTCCGGTGAAACTATTTTCACCTCCTGCGGGGAATGGAGGGCCGTCCAACTCAAATGCCAATATAATCCCTCAAACTTGAGGTTGAAAGTGTTCATCATCGACACCGCACCGTGTACATGACATATGCTGAACAAGAATGAGTCTTCCCGGCTAGTGCATTCGTTGAAATTTAATTGTCATTTGGAAGAAAGTTCAAGATCGCAGAGCTATATATAAGGGTCCGCAGGGCCGTACTTCATTGTACGTTGATACAGAAGTGTCTCTTTAAAAGTGACAACCGCCCAAAGCCCTGGCAACAGCACTTTATTTGACAATGCCACAACCAATATGGGACAACCTACCCAAATTCCGAATTTTATTTCCGTAATCCAAGTCTCGTGAGAATGGAAGACGGCTATCCCCCCTTGGCGCCAGCTGTAGTTTGGCCATGGTTTGCACATCTTGAATCAGTAGCCCATTTTCCCAGTGCTTCGACCATAAGGAAATAGTATGGGAAATAGAAATACGTACTGTTTTATAGCCTCTCCAATGTAAGGTGGAGCAGGCTGGTAGAGGTAAAGGGTGACATATAATGAATACGAGTGTGCCTCTAGAGAGCATCTTTTACCAGCACTAGCGCCTTAAATCGGATATTCTAGGAATTTGCAGGGAAATTCGTATAAGACTGTTGGTGCTTAAGATTTCTCCAGTTAAATTGCTCAATTATAGGAAATTGGTTCAATGCCTATCCACCCTTGGCTGATCCGTCTTCCTTCCCCTATATTTATAATCTCCATTGCCCTCTATCAAACCGTCTCCAGCACCAAAATTTCTCTATTTATAAGCGGAAATTGGCACTAAGCATTAACAATGAGATAGCACCTGAGAGCAACGGTATGTCGGCGGCAAGAAAAATCGAAACTGCAATCTAAAGTCCTTCGGCGTCTTGACGCAGCTGAGAAATGCCCGCAACCGGTCTACAAAGAGGAATGCCTTTCGACACGCCACTAGGCTACTCACATCCACTGACGGGCTCGAAGAGGCCAGAGTCTTCCGAGTTTCTTGTTCAGATTGTGCCACTTCATTTGTGATACAAATACCATTAGTGGGGGAATGCTGGACTGAGAAGGTCTCAATGAAGGCGAAGGAGCGGAGACCGTGGATCACCGGGCTTTACTGGATAGCCGTCCTTTATATATATAGCGCTCGGAAAACGAATAACTCATAGTTCGATTTTTCGACATACCTTTTTTTTCGATTCTTAGGATGACCGCATGATGTTGAGGCTCCGGATTTGGCGAGGAAAGGAGGACGCCTCTTGCATCTGATTGGTGGAATTTCATTCATCTCACGACACACCACACAACATCACCCATACCCCCACGGAAAATGAAGGAACGATATCGAATTGCGCCGCCTCCGTAAAATGGTATATGTACACACACACACTCTCTCTCTCTCTCCTCTTCCTCCCTACCTCTCCCCCGTTCCCTCCCCCGCACGCAACCCACACTCCCCCTTACCAAACCCAACTTCACTTCACAGCTTCGTTCAAACCAGCTCACTCATTTGCCCACCCCCTACACATCTCAACCGCCTTCTCCCACCTCCCGAACTTCTTTTCCCTCTCCTCCTTGTTAATCTTCGGCTCAAACGTCTTCACACCAGCAATGTTAACGTTCTTGAGCTCGTCAAAGGACTGCCAGACGCCGATGGCAAAGCCGGCTGCGATGGCGGCGCCAAGGGCGGTGGTCTCGAGCATGCGGGGTCGCTCGACGGGGATTCCGATTAGGTCTGCTTGCGTCTGCGTGATGTCAGCTTTGGCAGAAAAGAGACTTTGGGATTAAAGAAGGGGGGAGAGAGGAACCTACCTGCATGCAGAGATCTGAGTTCGTCATTCCGCCATCGACTGCCAACTCAGCAAGGGGCCTTCCACTGTCTTTGGCCATGGCGTCAAGGATGGCTTTGGTTTGGAAGCAGGTTGCTTCAAGTGTTGCGCGCGCGACGTGGCCTTTTTGGGTGTAGGCTGTGATACCGACTTTTCGCTGTCAGTTTGAGCTGCAAGATTGGGAAGTAGAAAGGGCTTACAGATCGTCCCACGCGCATCATCATACCAGTACGGAGCAAAGAGCCCACTGAATGCCGTCACGAATGTGACACCACCATTATCCTCGACCGTTTCCGCAAGGACGCTGATCTCACTGCTCGAGTCAATGAAGCCGAAATTATTTTGAAGGAATTTGATCGAGGAACCGGCGACGGCGATACTGCCTTCAAGGGCGTACTGGGGCTTCCCATCGAAATCATAGGCGACGGTCGTGAGGAGACCGTGCGTGGAGATAACCGGCTTGTCACCGACGTGGTAGAGTAAAAAACAGCCTGTACCGTAGGTGTTCTTGGCTCTCCCTGGGGAGAAACCTTTTTGGCCGACGAGGGCCGCGGATTGATCGCCGAGACAGCCTGCGATCGGGATGCCCTTGAGAATGCCAGTGGTGAGAGTACCGTATGCCTTTGAGTCTGAAGAACGGACGATCTTTGGGAGCTTCAGCTTGGCCATGTCGAAGCGGAAGAAATCGAGGAGCTGTTCGTCGTATTTGAGGGTGTGGATGTTCATGAACATGCTTCTAGAAGCATTGCTGGGATCTGTGACGAAGACGTTTGCTTTTGGACCCCCGTTCAAGCGGTAGACAGCCCATGCATCTATTGTGCCGAAAGCGAGTCTGCCTTTTTCATACGCTTCTGACACCTTGGGAACATTCTCGATCATCCATAAGAGCTTGCCAACTGAGGGGTATGTGGATAGTGGGAGACCGCAGAGATCTTGGAGCTTGTCTGCCCCAAGTCGAGCTTTAAGTTTTCGTACGAGATTTTGATGTCTGGTATCGGTCCAGACAATCGCATTGTAAAGAGGCTCGCCGGTTTCGTTATCCCAAACGACGGTTGTTTCTCGTTGGTTAGTGATGCCAACGGCTTTGATTGATCTGGCTGAGTGGCCTTGGGTCTCAAAGGTCTTCACGGCACCTTCAATGCAATCTTCAATGGAAGTGATGATTTCAAGCGGGTCATGTTCATGCCATCTAATTTCGTTCAGTATTATGCAGCAAATTTTCAAACGGTGCCTTACCCTGGGTGAGGATAGTATTGCTTGAACTCAATCTGGTGCGAAGCAACTGGCTCTCCCTCTCGATTGAAGATCAAAAACCTCGTGCTTGTGGTTCCTTGATCAATTGATCCAACATACGAATCATGGGGAGCTACGAGGACGGGAGAGTCCGAATTGTCTGATTTATCTGACAAGACCGACATTGTGCAAAGGGGTGATGGTGAGATAAAGGCTGGGCAAGAAGAATGAGCTTCAAGAGAGGTTTATGATGCAGAAGCGAGAGGAAGGAAGGGACGCTCCGCAAGAAAACTGAAGCTCTGAAAGAAGTTTATTAGGAGGGAAGCTCTCCGATCCGGGGACTCCACAACTCATCACTGTCACCCAAACCCTGGAAACCATGCATGTGATGGTCCAGCCTTCCCAAGACGGGCATGCCGTAAACTTTCAAGAAGCATGCGAGCTCTACACTAGAAATGGAGATTGGCCGAAGCTAGCAGCAGCAGATGGCGAAACCTGACAGGTTGGCTAAGCCTAGTGTAGCCAGAGCATTGGGTGAAGCTATACGATCTCGTGTGTAAGAGGTAATCAGCTTGGGACATCTTCTTGGCGAGATGTCGGTCGCAGGAATACACGGGGGAAGGGCAGGGGGTTGGTGGTACCGACGGTTCGTGTATGCGGAATCGAGTCCGTAGTGTGGATTCCCGAGAAGTCGTGGACTAGAGTGCCTCCTTTGGGTAGTCACAAACCTGGTACCTGCTGGGAAAAGCTCGAGTTCTGACGGTGCATACACCTTGCTGGTGACGGGAGGGGCGAACTGGGTGAGAAACATACGACACTCCTTGTCTGGATGCGTCCAATGGGATCAAAACTTCGGACGCATCCAGAACTAGGGCACATCCGGACCCCACTTCACGCAGCGTGCGCACTTGGCAATTGCGTCAACGAATATAAATATGGAAAAGAGGGTAAGTGGTTCACTGCCGGGGGGGCGATTGCAGATGTGGACTGAGATGAGATGGAGCGGGGGGTTGTGAGCAAAACCCGCCAGACAGCGGAAGTCTCGGTCGCTCGGCTGGGCGCTTGCTGCAGTGCCTCTCTTGGTGCGGGGTCGAGCCAGTCGCACGCAGAACTCTGGGGGTGGTTAGTGCTCGATCGAGAACAATTTTGGACTTGGGCCTGGAGAGGTAGTTTGCGATAGCTCTGGAGATGGGTGGATGTTGGAGTCCTGCAGAAGGCTCGACGTTGAAAGGAGTTGCGCCTAGGCTCGAAGAGGAAAAGGCCGCCCCTTTCTAGTCCCAGCCATCGCAAGCCACATCTCGGCTCATCAAGCCACATTATGTCCAAATTCAACATCCTTATTTCCACCGCAACAACAATATCGAGACCGCCCCCTCAAACCGCCTCCAGACTCTGCACACTGCATGATGAGGGGTAAGGGGACTTGCAGGTGGGGTGCAAGGTGCATCGCGCTCAGCTACCGCCGTTCTCCTCGCTCTCAATCCCTGATCCTGCTGCCTGCACCTTCGGTCAGTCCGGGATGCTCGGCGTCTCGGTCCAAACACGGCGGCTGGTAGGGGCTCTGCTAGTTGCAGCAGCTCGAGTAGCACAGCGCCATACTCGCACCATCAGCTTTGGTGGAACTCACTAGTCTCCATGCCCTCCAACGGCTGCCGGGGAGCGGGGGAGCCGGAAGATGGCGATCACCAAAACACCCAGTCAGGGAGTCAGTGCTCACTGAACCCCTCACCCCTCATCCCGCACCCGTCACGAACCATCGTTATGTTATTGCTGCGCTTTATGGTCCGTTTCTTTTCGTCTCTTTGAAATCAAGCTGTGGTCCAATTGGCCAATGCTTTATCAGATTAATTCGCTACTTGCTTTCTCTATGAGCCCTATGTGCTCGTGCGACGTGTGACAAGAATCACAAGATACTCGGCCCAGCGGCTGAAAGTAGCACTTCTTATCAAACTTCGTCACGGCGTCTGCGGGAGGATGCAACCATCAGATTGTCGTTGATCGCGGGGTCGGCTCAGCATTCGTCTGATTGGTTTAGTTGAGCATCCGAGGTTCCCTTGGGTACTTGCGCCGCGCAATGCAGTGGAAAACCTTAATAAGTCTAGGCCTGACTCGAGGCCTGCTACTGCTCCATGGTAAGGCCACAGTTCAAAGAGATTTGAAGGATTACTCGGTATTATTGTGGATCTGCACTCGCACGCTGGTGACTGTCCATAGGGAAGTTGCATGAGCCGTTCCTGAAGAGCTGTGTATGAGGATAAGGGAACCGTCTGAAGCCACTCGTCACATGGCCGTGATCCACAGTTCCCCTGAATTTCTGAGCACATCACTCGAAATTGGTATTTATCCAAATCCCCATTCTTCCTCACACCGAGACCCCCTATTTGGATAATACTCCGCCTTCTGAAAGCTGAGCATCATGCATCTCGGCCGCTAGAACTCTCGCGAATGGCTAGTTGGGACCGGCTTGTCGAAGAGCGGAACAGCGCCGGCGACTACCCCTCAAGTAGTCTCGATGTTCGACTCAGGAATGAGCCCATGGCGACTGTGCTCTTATCAGTTTGAGTTCACACCTACAGTAGCCTTATCTCGTAGTCGATTTGACCTGTCAACACGAGTAGGGCGCTACCAAGTGCCAAGTGGTCTCGAAGGTATCCTGCATCGCCTGGCCCAAGTTCCTTAACCGGATCTCGGGGACAGTCCGTTCTTGACCAAGTGCGGGTGGCGAGAAGATTAGTGGAGGTGCTCACGGAGCTGTTGCTCCCCAAGAGAAAGTCGGAAAGTCAGCTTGCTTCTATTGGCCTAGCATCATTATACCATTCATTTCCTGGGTGTGATATAAAGATTCTGGGACGTCGATCCCAGATCTGTTGCCTTTGTCTGTACCTTACGTCGTCCTTGGTGTAACTTCACCTTTTCTCTTTTTATTTTTACTTCACAATATGTCTGAAGAAAAGATAATAAAACCCGGACCCTCGAGTCCAGCCATTTCTCACGATGAGCACGCAAAACACCTCAATGCCGAAGGAAGCTCCTCCGACTCGGAACGCAAACCGTACGAGGAGCACGGTCCAGGAATTGACCACCACATTCCACAGGATGAAGTCGTACAAGCCGAGCCAGAGCTCTGGTGGAGCAGAACTCGCCACGTTCTCCGCGAGCCTCTCGCGGAATTCTTTGGTGTCTTCATACTGATTCTGTTCGGTGATGGGTGAGCCCTGAATCCTCACTATTTCTACCAATGACTAACATTGTCCCAGTGTCGTCGCTCAGGTGGTTCTCAGTGGCGGAGAGAAGGGATCATATCAATCGATTTCATGGGGTTGGGGGTACGTTTCGTCATCCGAACATCCCATAAACAAGGGGTTGCTAACACGGGGATTAGTCTTGGTGTTATGCTGGGTGTCTATACCGCAGGAGTAAGCATTTCTATCCCCTCCCCGGACCATCCGATGGGCCGAATCACTAACCGAGAACAGGTCAGCGGAGCTCATCTGAACCCCGCGGTCACGTTTGCAAACTGGTTAGTTCCAATCCATTCACTTGAGACATGCAAACAAACTGAGAGGAGCAGTGTGTACCGCAAGTTTCCGTGGAAGAAATGGCCTGGATATGCAGTTGCCCAAGTCCTTGGCGCAATGTGCGCCGCAGCCGTCGTCTACGGTACGTCACTCCCTCCTCTGCCCTTCCCTCTCTTTTTCTCTTTACTCATCCCCCTCACAGGAAACTACAAATCCGCAATCGACGTTTACGAAGGCGGGCCCGGCATCCGAACCGTCCCCGGCTTCTCCAACCACAGCACTGCCGGAATCTTCTGCACCTACCCCGCCTCCTTCATGACACGCACCGGGCAATTCTTCTCCGAGTTCATCGCATCAACCATACTAATGTTCCTTATCTATGCGTTGCAGGATAATGGGAATCTGGGCGCAGCGAATTTAACACCCTTGATGTTATTTTTTGTTATTTTTGGGATTGGCGCTTGTTTTGGGTGGGAGACGGGGTATGCTATCAATTTGGCTAGGGACTTCGGTAAATCCCTCATGAACCCACAGGGATGAAGAAAGGAGGTGAAGTTGGGATGTGAGCTAACGAGATAAATAGGTCCGAGGTTGGTATCATACATGCTCGGCTACGGCCACGAAGTGTGGAGCGCGGGTAACTACTATTTTTGGATTCCGATGGTGGCACCGTTCTGCGGGTGCACGTTTGGCGGGTGGCTTTATGATATGTTCATCTTCACAGGTGGTTACGCCTCCCCTTGCTTATGTTATTTATATTGTGTGAGGTCAAGGGGGAGAGATGCTGACAAATGATATTAACAGGCGAGAGTCCGATTAATACGCCTTGGATGGGGTGGAAGCGGATATTGAGGCCAGGGAGTGGGAAGAGCAAGAAGATTGAGAGCCATGTTTGACAGGCTGATGATAAAAGAGTGCGAGAACAGTGACAGTTCAAGAGTAGATGGCAGGGTAGCATCCTGGTGGAGTGGCGTTGGCTTGTGTGGTTGCCTTGGGAGCTGAAAATACGAGAGTGGCGTGGATGATCCATGATTGATGCTTGACAAAAAAACGGTGGTTACGGCGTTATAGTCGGGTTCTCACTAGAAGAAAATACCCGTTCCAAATTTTCAAATAGGTAGCTTACTGATATCGTCAACCTCTCGTGATTGTCTAGATCTAAGTCCTCCTCGCCTTTTCGGCACCTGCCAGCTCGGGCTTTGTACATTTGTTACCGGAGCACCGACTTTGCAGCCCTGCAGTGCCTATGTATACGTTCTCTCTCAGTATTGTTCACCAAGATGGGCGCAGATAACCTCTAATTGCTGGGTACTTCATGTCCGCGAGATGTCAAGGATCATTTGCAGTCGTAAAGAATATGTTAGAATAGCCACAGCCTGTCCTCGCATTACTTTTAGTCTACCAGTAAACGCATTGTGTGGAATTTTCAAAATTACATGATAACAAAGCCAAACTTTGCAATTAAAGCAATTCGGTATCATACTTGGGTTTCAAAAGCCATATGCAATCCCTCCAATCCCATTCAAAACCTCTTGCTAATTTCATGGTTAGCATGAAGGTCTATGTCAACTTCTTATGAAGTGGGAGAGACAGGATGTCCCAGTGTGTCTCCCAAAATTGGGTCTTGAGCTTTGCCATGATGACGAATGTTGTTGAGCCGCGGTTTGGGGAGTTTGACGAGGTTCTATAGCAGATGAAAGGAGTAGTGTGAAGCCGGAGATGGGTTCACCGTGTCCCGAGGGCCTGCCTTAGGCACACGGTTTGCCCTTGATGAATTTGCTTGAAAATGGGCATTTATAAGATGCGGCTAGTAGAGGTGAGGCGCAGTTTGCCGCATGTATTGTCCCAGATGCGCCCAACACTTTAAACGTTTCCAACAACAACAAAATCTCCAAACCCATTGAGTATAGCAATATGGCTCCGAGCCATATGATGATCTCAGCTACCAAGTGGGATGGAATTCAATAATCAAGGAAGATGCAAACTTTTGAAGTGTCTAAGGTAGGTATGTACAAAAATGTTTTAATCAACCCCCATTACCACCCCCAAACTCACAGATACCAGGATTTAAATGATGAAGGTAGTGTTTGCTTGCAGATCGCGTGAGCTGGAACCGAGGGAAAAGGTGTGTGCCGCTGGCAATCGCCCACTTTTGCCCTGAGATGTCCCGGTAACTGATATCACGACGATGAAGGCTGAACGAAATATCGGCAGTCTGGCCAGGTGTAATATTGAACTTCTCAAATCCTCTCAAGCCACGGACTAGCTGATCAGCTTCATCTAGGAAGCTCAGGTACAATTGAGCGACTTCGGCACCGATCAAGGATCCAGTATTTTGCACGGTGGTGTTTACCGAGACCATTTCATCGTAGAAGTCGACTCGGTCACCGAAACCAAGCTGTCCAGTTGGATTTGTAGAAGCCAGAGATAAGCTATTGGTAATTGCAGTCGTGACTTCTCCGTAGCTGAATGTAGTGTAGCTGAGACCGTGACCGAGTGGAAATCGTAGCTCAATGTCCTCCTTATCAAGCCAGCGGTAATCGACATATACACCCTCAGAGAAAGGGCATTCAATTTCCATGCAGACTGAAGTAGGATAATCGGATGCGTTCTTGGCAATGGTATGGATCCATTTTCCGCTCAGGTTGACATCGCCATAGAGACTATCAGCGATAATGTTTCCGGACTCCTGACCAAAGAGGCCCGAGTAGATAAGTGCTGTGGTGTTGCCGTTTTCGATCCAAGCCTCGAGAGCTCGAGAACTAGAAACGTGGACTACGGCGATGGTATTGTTGCAGTTCTCGGCAACGGTGAGAACCAAGTTGTCCTGGTCAGTGTTGGAAAGTTCGCTTCGATCAGCACCCTCTTCCGACCATGAATTGATGAAACGAGGCAAACGGCTGATTGGGATGCATATTCGGTCAGCGAACGAGGGACACCGGTACCGCCTCCAATTCCGAATGTTTGACCGTTGCTCGTGCTGGTGTATGCTGACAGCGTTAGCTTAAGTCTTGATGAGAAGGTGGTGAGCTCACTGTTGTTCATGATCCACCAGATTATAGAGTCGTCATTCGTAGATCGCCGTGTAGGAGACTGGAAAGGGTGACGAGGTAAGGAAGAGAAAGTTGACCAGAGCCACCACCACTGACCGGATGACCTTGGAAGATATTGGCATCTGTACCTTGGACACTCCATGCCAAGTTGGGACGTATGCCAGAACTAGAAATGTTATTCATAGGACGAAGGCAGATACTCACCAGCCATAGCTGGACCCGCGTAAACACGGTATCCCTTCGTCCGGTGAGACATTACTGGCGTGGGCGGGGGCTCTGGCTTGGCTGGCGGGGCATAAAATTATGTGGCTTCAGGAATTTTATTGGGTGCCATAGCTGTGGCTGATACACTAGTAATTACTCACCCGACGAAGGGATAGGGAATCGGGTGAGGCTTGTTAAGTGGAAGACCACCGCCACTAGTGTTATCATTCTTAAGGAGACCAATACCATCGCCACCAATCTTTCGAATAAGAGAGCTGTGGTTTCCACGAACATTGCGGTAGGTATTATAGTTAGTGGAAGCAGGCATGTCCGATGTATTAAGGCCAACGAAATAGTAAGGTAGAACAGAGCGAATAGCCATTGCCCAGACATCGATCGCATCTTCTCGGGGCCACATCTAAATTTCGTGTAGATTTTTTTCGTCCATGTTGGAAGATAGACAGAGCTGCTCGAACCCATGCTGCCAGTTCGGTTGCACTCTTACTCGTAATGTAGGAAATGTCGCCTACCTATGATAACTCCGGCTGCATTTTGTGCCTTGATACCAGTAGATGCTGCTACCCCTGAGAGGAACGGGTCAGGAGAGAAAGCTTAGTTTTAATGACCACCTAACCCTTGGTAAGTAGTAATATTTCAACATGATGTAATCTATATTTTCATACCTTTCGGCACACGGCGGAGAGGGCCGAGCAAGGCACTATTCATAGCGTTGTAACTAGTCGCGAAGGATTCCTCCCCAATAGTTTGGAACTGAGAAGCGCTGCAATCAATCTCGGTCCCAAGTCGTCGGGTTGGCATTGCCTATGGGAAACACAGAACAAATATATAGAAGTTGAGGCCAGATATACTATCGGTGTTTCTGTATGCATCCCAGGAGGAATTGTCACTTGTGAAGCTGGAAGCAATAACTATGGCAATCTTTTGTATGTTGTTCAAGGGGAGACGAATGTTTTGGCTCTTTGGTAGGCTTTAGCCGCGATATCGAGGTTGATTGTTTCCGAATGTTAAGAGGTATTCCTTATTCAGGGGCTGGGGATACTCACGATAGCCGCCGTCAAGGAATGCGGTGGTACAGTCGGTCCGACCCAAACACAACAAAAAAAAATAAAAACCACTATAATACTAATTAATATAAATCTTATTAATTAAAACTATACTATATATACTAGGAATTAATTCTATGGTCTCAAAATTATAATATCTTTATTATTAAGGAAGTTATAATATATATAATTAAGCAAGCAAATATTTTTGCACTTTATATAGTTATTTTTTTACTTTAGTTATTACATAACTGCCCCCCCCCAGATTAACCGCTCTTCCATAATTATATTAATATCTTAATAACTATAAACCTAATTAAGTGCCCTTTTTGAATACTTCTAATAGCTACCTCTATAAGCCTTTAGAAGCGCAAGCGAGCTAATTCAACTCTTAATTCAATTATAATTCTTACCCTAGCTAAAGAAGCTATAATCCAAATAACTCTTAATAAACGGTATAAGAAACCCTCTACTATAGAGGACGATTCTAATAGTTTAGATATTAAATAAAGTAATAAATTAGAGCTTAAAGATTTAATTCTCTTTTAGGTTTAGTAGAAGCTTATTATTAGTAGTAATAAGATAATTATTTTAGAGAAGCCTATATTCGTATAATAAGAGTAAAGACTTATAATATAGACTAGTAAGTTTCTTATCTTTATATTATAATATAAGTATACTAATACTATTTCTAGCTTCTAGAGGCTTATATATCTTCAAATTAATAAAGAAATTAGCAAAGCTATTAAGAACTTAATAAAAATATATATATAATTAGAAGGCAAAGATACTCAAGTTACTAGGCTCAAAACCCCTATAATTATATTATCTTTTAAATAAAAGAAGCTATAATTCGGTATTATTAAGAGACTAATTAATATTTCTAGAAATATATAATTAAGAAAAGAATAAAGATTTAAGGATAAAGATAATAGAATAAACGAGCTACTTTTAGATACCCTTATTAGAAACGCTTATAGAGATAATAAAGCTCTAGATATATGAATAACTTATTAGGAAGTTCTTAATAATATAAATATAAAGCTAATATAAATAAAAGACTTATATACTTTATATATAGTTACTAACTTATACTTACTCTAGTAATATATCTAATAGCTCCTAAAACTAGGGCAGTATTAACTAGGCAGAATTAATATATTACTCTTAATAGCTTCTAGTAATTACTACTTTAATAATAGAAAGATACTAGCTCGGTAAATTAGAGAGTTATTTAATTACTATTAATAGTAGCATGGCATTTTACTAGAGGCTAGAAATAATAAAAGAAATAGTACCTCTTATCTAGATAATAAAAATATTTTTCTAGTCTACCAAACTTAGTTAATTAATTAAGAGCTTGGAATAATATTACTAAACGATTTCCTAAATACTATTAATTAAAAGATTTTACCTTAATTATTATTAATAATTAAAAGGCTAATTGCTTATAGTATAGCTTACTTATAGCTTCCTAGGCTCGGCTTTTATTACTATAAGACTAAGAAAGGGCTTTATATAAATAGATATAAATAACCTAATATAATTTAGTATTATTAAGAGATATTTTTACTATTAATAAACAAGCTTTTATTATATATAATCTAGTATAAGGAAAATAAAGCTAGTATATGGCATATAATTTAATCTTTACTTCTAATTAGAGTTTGGGTATATATAATATACTTTTATAATAAGAGCTATTTCTATAATTTTAATTATAAAAAGAGTCTCTAGCTAATAGATAGTTAGTAAAAAATACCAGGAAAAAATAAAGAGAGACTAATTCATGATTCTAAATTTATAGGGCCTAAGGGGCATATTAGGGTACTAAATAATAAAGGCATTTTTATTCCGGATAACCCTGATTTAGATACCTATTAAATTATATATCCAGGCTTAAATAGAGACCCCTAATAGGATATAAAATAGCTACTAGTACAGGTTACTAGGACGCTTAATATATTTAAATAAAAGCACCCAAATTATATAGCTATTCTAATATTTAATTAGTTTTCTATATATACTTTATATAGTAAAGATATACTAAATACTTTTAGTATAAACAAGATACCAGGAGAAATTAAAAAGAGTAATATTAAGCCCTATAAGAAAAATATATATTTCCTACTAGAATATATAATTCCGGAATTATAGGGCACTATATAAGTTCTTTAGTAACTTAATTCAAATAGAAAAAAAGAGCCTAAGGGCATGAAATAGATTCTTATTAAGCGAGGATATAATATACCTAGCTTAAGATTTAAGTATCCAAAGAGTACTAAATATATTATATCCCTTAAATATCTTTCTGCTATTAAATAAATATACTATTTAGCTCGTATACTCTCGAATTACAAAGACTTTTTAAAGAAAAAGAATCAAATTAAAGAGCTTATTATAAAGCAGGGATATAAGGCTATATTTCTACCAAAGTTCTATTACGAAATTAACCTAATTAAGATATACTAGAAATATAGCAAAACTCGATTTCGTTAAGTAAAGAAGATTAGCTTTCCAGATACTAAGGTTAAAGTAGTAAAGATATTTAAAGCTTATTTAATTAAGACTATATAAAGGTTTTGCAACTATATATTTCACTAGATAGATATATATTAGAAGAGATTAAGTATTAAATAAGCTACTTAGTATATAAAGAAACAAAAATACTATAGAATAATATCTAAAAAAGTAATAAATAAATAAGATAATATATAAAAGAAAGGGAAAGAAGGTAGCTAAATAAGAAGCTAGGTTTATAGATTTAGTTTAGCTAAAAGTAAGCTTGAAACCTATATAATTATAGCCCTACTATATATATAATATATATAGTACTAGAAAAAGCTATATTTAGTACTTGGGAAGGTTCTATTAAGCTTATAGGGCTTAATTATTATTATTCTATTAATAATAAGGCTAGTAAAATACCCTAATCTCTCCCTAAAGTCCGGGCTCACGTGACCTTAGCAAGCAAATATTTTTGCGCTTTATATAGTCAAAAATCAATTAAGTAAAAAGAGTCGGTATACTTTAGGCCTTAATTATTAATAAATCACGAATTATATTAAAAATCCAATTAATAGGTATTTTTCGCCTGCTTCTATTCTATAATCATATTACTTAGTATAAATTAATGAAGGTTGTAGTTGAAAAGTTATTATGGGCGTAAAAGAGCGACCGTTTTGTCGTGTTTGGGTCGGACCGACTGTATTCCTGGAGAAAGCCTCCAGGTGGTTAAATTGTCTGATCTGGCCTGCTCAAGGTCGTTGTCGACGGTTCCTATGGGGTGATGTCCAGGAGGGGCTACTTCATCTGTGCGATCCGCGAGGATGTTCACATGTCAACGTTCGATCAACCAGACTTCACAGTGTAACAGGCTGCTGGGATCAAACGCTGGGCCAAATTTTCAACCGCGCTTGCTGCTTCATGAACGCGGACTCGGACGTTGCCAAGTATACTGCCAAAAAGCCCCATCAGCCCGCCCTGAACGAGGACTACATCCAAACAGACATCCAAACCCTCAAAGCATTCCTTCTGCTTACAACCGACGTATGTCGAGGTTGTGAGACTGAGGATGCGGTGACATTACTAGAAATTCAACGTTCTCGTGGTCTAGTGACTCTTCATCTCCCAACATCGGGTCCGATGCCGACCAACACACAACTTACTAAATTCGAAATCGATCGAATTATCGAGGGATACCCACCATTCTACCGGGAACAATTTGAAACTACTGGAGGCGTCATACTCCCTTTTCCGACAAAACATAGCGGCCATATACAGCGAGGGGCGTGGGTGCTAAGTGTTGGGATGACAACAAGTAGTGGGCCGACACCGTGCTTGTATAATATGCCACGAATCAGCCACGAAAAGCCTAACATATACTGGAGAGGGACCTATGTTTTGACGGCTTTTAATATGATCGATCGGACTTTGGCTCAACTGAAAGCTTATGAGGAGCGCCATGGTGGTCATTTTCGATCGAATCCAACCAGCCACGCATGGTGTCAAGACGCTTTGACATGTTTTGACATGATCATGACATCCGAGTATTCGTCGCAGCCATGGGCTCTAAAGAAAGAGCAAGTCGAAGTATCCGACCTATTCAAGTCGATCATGGGCGACTGTTCCTGTTATCGCACATGTATTAGGGATTCAGACCACTCGGTGTAAGTTGGTATGTTGCAATTTGATACTTGCTTTATTAATAGTTTCAAGTGCGTGTGGCCGAAATCAACACAAAAAGAAAGACCCAGCAAAGGCTCTTAATCAGGAGCAATGTATTGCTGCTCTTGAGTTATTCAACAACTATCAGCATACGGAGCGAAATCTGCAAATCATTTGGCCAGTGCTGCCGGAAGTCTTGCAGAGTGTAGTTCTTGGGATGTCTGAGGTGGAACAATACTTTTCGTACAGGGGTCAAAAACTTGAACTTCCAAGGGATGTTGCAGAACAACGATACATTTACATTAGACGATGCTCTAAAGATAGGTATTAATTGAGAGGGATATCTTTATAACACCTTAATGTTTGTTTTCCTGGTAGTATGTCTCAAGTGGCCAGCGCCTGGGCTTAGACACAGCTCAGCTCCGTCTTAGATCTGCTCAAGTGTATTCGCTCTATTCAATTTCAAGATCTTATCAACTATTTATATCGACTTAATCTTATAATAAACAGATCCGCGTTTAGGTAATGATTGGTTTTTAAAGATCGGGAGTAGTTAGAAAACAAGCTTACTTCGTGGAAGACAAAGAGGTACTGATTTTCAATGTCACAAGTCAAAGTTGTATATCTTAACGCTTATCTATATATTCTACTCTTCTCCCCTCGACTCTTAAGATGCTCAAATTCTACGTCTTGGAATCTTTCTGAAATTTCAAAATACTATATTCGACGAAAAAAGGTGAGACAAAAGTCCAACCCCGACTTTGGACATTGAAACTAAGTGCCGCTTTTACTTTCCGCAGTAGGCTTGCTTTGGTGGTGTGCAACATCGTGAAGCGAATTTTGTGGCTGTGCCTGTCGTGCAATGTCTTCTCAGCACTATCCCTTCGTCTGGCAAGAAGTGGTCCGTACTAGCAGGGGGGCCTGGCTCAGGGCGAAAAGGCGATAAATGACTAATAAGTTTCTACCGTAAGTAAAGGCACGCCTTTTCGCCCTGAGCCAGGCCCCCCTGCTAGTACGGACCACTTCTTGCCAGACGAAGGGATAGATATAAAATCCAGTGGGCCCCTGCAAAACCCCCTATTAAGCTCGCGTAGGATTCCCAAACCAGGGTCGTTCGCCCAAAGTAGTAGTTTTTGACCTCAACTCTTTTTAAATACATGTAAGCACCCTTTCAGGGCAGCCCTGGAAGGGTGGTAATGCAAAGAGAGAATTATTTTGGCCCTCCTGACCTCCCACGTTCCTAAATAATTGATTCTCTGGGGGTTTCCATTAAATGCCTTATTTCTTGTTTGCTATCTAGCGGCCCTGCTCGCGCACTCGCTTTTTTAGATATGACGCACGTCCACTGCTCCTCTCTAGGGTATGCCTTTCGCTAAGCCTTGCGAATAGCTTCATTTTCTATACTTATAACTCTACCTAAATATAAATATGCTCCGTATATGAATGCGCTCCGCACGTAGTTGCGCGCCTCCGGCGCGCGACTGGGTGCCTCTAGCCTATAAGGTTAGGTAAGCCCCCAGTATTAGTAGAGATAAGCTTTAGAACTCCCGGAATTACAGTCGGTCCGATCCAAAAGCGACAAAACAAAAAAAAAACCACCACAGTACTAATTGATATAAATCGTATTAATTAAAACTATACTATATACTATAGGAATTAATTCTATGTTCTCAAAATTATAATATCTTTATTATTAAGGAAGTTATAATGCACGTGATTAAGCGAGCAAATATATTGGCGTTTTATATGGTCGTTTTTTTACTTTGGTTGTTACGTGACTGCCCCCCTAAGTTGACCGCTCTTCTATAATTATATTAATACCTTAATAACCACAAACCTAATTAAGTGCCCCTTTTATATACTTCTAATAGCTACCTCTATAAGGCTTCAGAAACGCAAGCAAGCTAATTTAACTCTTGATTTAATTATAGTTCTCACCCTAGCTAAAGAAGCTGTAATCCAAGCGACTATTAACGAATGGTATGGGAAACCCTCTAATATAGAGGATAATTCTGATAATTCAGATATTGAACCAAGTAATAAAGTAGAGCTTAAAGATTCGATACTCTTTTGGGTTTAGCGGAAGCTTTTTATTAGTAGTAATAAGACGATTATTTTGGAGAAGCCTATATTCATATAGTAAGAGTAAAGACTTATAGAATAGACTAGTAAGTTTCATATTTTATTTTCTTATTTTTATATTATAATATAAGTATACTAATATTATTTCTAGCTTTCAGAGGCTCCTATTTCTCTAAAATAATAAAGGAATTAGTAAAGCTATTAAGAACTTAATAAAGATATATATATAATTAGAAGGCAAAAGATACTCAAGTTATAGAATAATCTAGTAGGCTTAAGACTCCTATAATTATACTACCCCTTAAATAAAAGAAGCTATAATTCGATATTATTAGGAGACTAATTAATATCTTTAGGGATATATAATTAAGGGAAGAGCAAAGGCTTAAAAATAAAGATAATAGAACTAATAAGCTACTTTTAAATGCCCTTATTTGGAATACTTGCGGAGATAATAAAGCTCTAGATATACGAATAACTTACTAAGAAGTCCTTAATAATATAGATATTAAGTTAGCTTAAACCAAAGAGCTATATACTCTATATATAATTACTGACTTATACTTACTCTGGTAATATACTCAATAGCTTCTAAAGCTAGGGCAATATTAACTTGGAAAAGTTAATATATTACTCTTAGTAGCTTCTAGTAATTATTACTTTAATAATAGAAAGATACTAGCTCGGCGAATTAGGGGGCTATTTAATTACTATTAATAGTGGCATGGCATTCTATAGGAAACTAGGAGTAGTAAAAGAGCTAGTACCTCCTATCTGGATAATAAGGATATTTTTTTAGCTTGCCGTACTTGGTTAATTAATTAAAAGCTTGGAATAATATTACTAAACGATTTCCTAAATGCCATTAATTAGGAGATTTTATCCCGATTATTATTAATAATAGAAAAGCCTATTACTTGTAGTATAGCTTACTTATGGCTCTCTAGACTCGGCTTTTATTACCATAAGACTAAGAAAGGGCTTTATATGGATAGATACGAATGCCCTAATATAATTTAGTATTATTAAGAGGTGTTTTTACTATTAATAAAGAAGCTTTTATTATATATAGTTTAATATAAGGAAGATAAAGCTAGTACGTAATATATAATTTAACCTCTATTTCTAATTAGAGTTCAGATATACGTAATATATTTCTATAATAAGAGTTATTTCTATAGGTATAACTATAAAAAGAGCCTCTGGCTAGTAAATAATTAGTAAAAAATGCCCGGAAAGAATAAAGGAAGGCTAATTCATGATTCTGAATTCGTAGGCCCTAAAGAGCGTATTAGAGTACCAAATAATAAAGGCATTTTTATTCCGGATAATCCCGATTTGGATACCTGCAAAATTATATATCCAGGCTCAAATAGGGACCCCTAGTAGGATATAAAATAGCTACTAGTACAGATTACTAGAACGCTTAATATATTTGAATAGAAGCACTCAAACTATATAGCTATTCTAATATTTAATTAGTTCTCTATATATGCTTCGTATAGTAAAGGTATACTAAATGCCTTTAGTATAAATAAGGCACTAGGAGGGGTTAAAAAGGGTAATATTAAGGCCTATAGAAGGGATATATACTTTTTACTAGAGTATATAATTCCGGAATTATAGGGCACTATTCAAGTCCTTTAGTAACTTAATCCGAATAGAGAAAGAAAGCCTAAGGATATGGAATAGATTCTTATTAAGCAAGATTATAATATACCTGGCTTAAGATTTAAATATTCAAAGAGTACTAAGTATACTATATCCCTTAAATACCCTCCTGCTATCGAATAAACGTACTATTTAGCTTGTATACTATTAAATTACCAAGACTTCTTTAAAGAGAAGTCCCAAGTTAAAGAGCTTATTATAGATCGGGAATATAAGGCAGTATTTTTACCGAAGTTTTACTGCGAAATTAACCTAATTAAGATATACTAGGGATATAGCAAAACTCGATATTATTAAGTAAAGAAGGCTAGCTTCCCAGATACTAAAATTAAAATAATAGAGGCACTTGAATCTTATTTAATTAAGACTATATGAAGATTTTGTAACCATATATTCCGCTAGATAGATATATATCGGAAGGAATTAAGTATTAAACAAGCTACTTGGTATATACGGAAGTAAAAATACTATAGAATAATATCTAAAAAAGTAATAGACAAATAGGATAATATATAAAAGTAAGGGAAAGAAGGTAGCTAAGTAATAAGTAAGGTTTATGGATTTAGTTCGGCCAAAAGTTAGCTTGAAACCCATATAATTAGGGCCCTACTATATATATAATATATATAATACTAGAAAAAGCTATATTTAGTATTTAGGAAGGTTTAATTAAGCTTATAGGGCTTAATTATTATTATTATATTAATAATAAGGCTAGTAAGATACTGCAATCTCTCTCTGAAGTCCGGGATTACGTAACCTTAGCAAGCAAATATATTAGCGTTTTATATAAGGAAAAATAAAAAAAAGTAAAAAGGGTCCGTATACTTTGAACCTCGATTATTAATAAACCACAAATTATATTAAAAATCTAATTAATAGGTATTTTTCGCCTGGTTCTACTCTATAATCGCATTACTTAGTATTAATTAATTGGGGTTGTGGTCAAAAAGTTATTATGGGCGTAAAAGAGCGACCGTTTTGTCGCTTTTGGATCGGACCGACTGTAGTATAATGGCTAGTTCCCTACAAATCAAAACATAAAAAAGCCAAAGCGCTGCCAACACAGCACAAGCCATTGAGTCCCATCTCCTAGCACTAGCTGGTGAACTTCTCATCGGAATAGTCGATCACGTCGAGTCCAAACACAACCGTTCTAGTGAACATTCTTTCCGTACATAACGAATTAAATGACGATGTTAATGAACTAATAAGCTCTCGCAAGTGACACATGATAAATGAGAGTGTGGACAACTAAATTAGTGGTTGAGCCTGTGCTGGAAGGAATAATAGACTAGCCAGGCTAGTGTACCACGAATTCAACAGATGCCATACCCTGCCCGTTTTAGGCATATTAGCGGACCAGTTCTTGCCAATCAGGCAATTTCCGAATGAAGTTCCGGTTCTCAAACCAAAAATGGTGAGGTGGGAGCCGTATTTTACCAGTTTTTGGCCAAAAAGACAGGGTAGCAGATAATTGGGGGAGATAATGATATCAATTGATGGTGTGTGAGGGGTGATAAGTACAGCTAGTGTAGCTCGCTAAGGAAGGCGCGTCCACGGTAGCCCTTTCCAATTAGTCCATTTTCGAATGGTTCCAGAGTGCCCGAAACGAATCCAGAAAATATGATTCATGGCAACCACGAATTTGTGAGATTGAAGCTTCTGTAAAGATGAGCCTTTCACTTCGCTTCCAACTTTCCTCTTCTTCTTCTTTCAACAACATTCCAGAATCCAGAACACCAACCAGCTCAGTCAAACTCTTCGACACATTCTCCTTTCGATATCAGGAACACATTCCAACATCCTCAGCCATATTTCCACGTCTCATCATGTCGATTCCCCAAACCCTCAAGCCCGGTGACTTCCGCGGGTTTGGAAGAGGAGAAGGCAATCTTGGAGGCTTCGTGAACGACGAATTCGCTTCCCACTGCCCTCCTGATGTTCAACCAAACACCAGAATCATCGCGGTTTGTGGCGCATCTGACACGACAGGCTATGGTAGTCCCGATAAAGATGGGTGGATCTTCTCGGATTTTTTCTTGTATCATCATCTTCTTCAAGACAGCCGTAAGTTCCCGGTCCGTTTCGTGAAAATGAAACTGACTTCTTTTCCTTCCAGCAAAGTTCCGTTCCGCAAACCAAGTCTGGCTGACCTGTGCCAATCCACGAAGCCTCGTTGCAAATTATAAAGAGTTCGTTCACGGACATCGGCACCGTGATCGACGAGTCGTTCTCGATTTAGCAATGCTGGATGATCTCGAGAAGTGTGGCAATATTCGAATCATCAACTCGATGCAACTCCTCGAAAGATTCCTGTCCACGTTGAAGGATGAAATCAAGAATGCAGCAGAACACAATCAGCCAGTTCTTGTTCTCGTTTTCGGGCATGGTGATAGCGACGATCATGGAGTTGCAATTGGTGGTGACTTCCAACGCAATGCCCCTCGACTTGTGATGGGGGAATTCGAAAAGTGTTTGAGGAAAGACGTTAATGTGACTCTCATGATAACATCTTGCTACTCGGGCGGTTGGGTGACGAAACCAAGAGTTCGGCCATTTCAGCCTTCGCTCCCTTTCAACATATCCGGAATGACAGCGGCCAGTGCTGAGCAACTCAGTTGGGCATGGGCTACGAGTCAGTCAATTGGGAAACGGGCAGGAGGGAGCATCTTCGCTACAGCTGTGATGAACGCTTTGATGGCCACTTCACAAAAGACTCCGGGATTTGCCCATATGTGCGAGGCATTTGACTCGGTGGTCAAAGAAACCGACGATGGAGAATCTATCCGGTGTGAACCCACATACATCAGCCTCGCCAAATCCGTTTACGAAGCAATGAGAGATCTCGACCCTGGCTTTACGTTTGAGCAAAGACACGGGATTACATTTGCGGCGAAAGATGACAACTGGGATATTGCATGGCGGAGACGGACCAGCTTCCCGCTGGTTAACTACCAAAGCCGATGGGAGATGTTGAGAAGTGCCCCGAGTGGCCCAGAAATATCTCTATTTGAGGGGGCCAAGCAACTGACTGGTGGAGACCCAAAGCTCAACATTCTGCGAGAAAGAGCTTTTGTCTACATGAACACCTTTCCCGGCGCCGATAATTCGGGAAACAATATAGTTCTTCATGCTCTACTGCGATCCCTTCTCCAAGGAGACGACAATTTCGACGACATGACCCTTGACTACATGGACAGCGCTCTAGATTACCGAGACTTTCTTGTCAATCTCGCTACTGATTTTGCGCAAATGGCAGATCTAAATTTGGGGGATGCAAGAAAGTTCGATGTCGAAGGCTGGCTTCAAAAGAAGGTTGCGGAAAGAAAGCAGACCGACTTGAATGTTTCTGCAACAGCCCGAGAACAACTCGACAAGTACCTCAAAATCCGCAACCTCATTGTGAGCAAGAAACTGTTCGGCATCCCCCTGGCGCAAACTCAAGGTCCGGCTTATGAAAGGCCAAAAGAGTACCTAGCAATTGCCTTTGCAATGACAAATCTTTCCTTCGAGGAGGTTGAAGATCGCGTAAACAAACTGCACCAACGTAAGTCCCCATCAAGAAACTCTTTTTTTGATTGCAACTCGGCTGACGAACAACTTGTAGTGGACAACGCCAAGCAGTATCTTATATCAGCAATGCCCGTTGGAACAAGAATAATGGCAGATAGGCGAGTTTCGAGGGCAAGAGATACTCTGCGGAAGACACTTGGCCGGGTTGGGCAGCGTTTGCGATCTCTATCTCCTTCTAAAAATTGACGATTATGAAGGCCGCGAACTAGATGCACTTGCGGGCGTTCTTTTACATGTATTCATTGCAAAACCACAGTTATCCAGATGATCCCATTCTTGAATGGCTCAGCCGTGTCCCTCATCTAGACTACCTTCCAGATTGCGACGGCGGAGAGGATATAGACGGGATCCTTACCGATTTGTGTGGAGACGAAACGACACTTAAAACCCGGAAGAAGATCTTCACCATTGTGCGCCCAGGTGCAACCCAAACAGAGGATACAATGACCAAACAATGCTTGAGTATTCTCGGCTTCAACAGGTCGTGACTCATTCCGCCGTGTATATATGGAGAGAAACGAGCAGTGGGGGAAGTTATTCTCGATTCCGATCCGCAGAATGCCAGAAGAGTACTCGAAGTAGACGAACTCAGGAAGATCGTTAAGCAGATCTTAAGTCTCGACTGGAAGAATTCTATTTTTTTTTGCGGAGGATTTGAACTATGACACTTTCTGGTCGGACAAAATCGGACGCTTGACCGAAGTCTTCGGAGCATTGCATTGTTTCCAAAGTCCAATACAGTTGCAAACCTAACGCATACACCCTCGTTGATCTTCAAGTTAGAAGTACAATCAATTCCATCACTTCCTCCACTGCATTTCGTTCTACTCTATATTCTTTGGTATCTCCTTCACCTTAGCTGCTATACATGGAACCTCACTGCTCAACAACCTCTCCTCTCCCAACAGCAACCCAAGCACTCAGCGGATCCGCCCAAATCTCCAGATGCCCAACTCGTCCCCGTCTCCACACTCCTAAAGGTTCCCTCTCCAATGACTGCAACGATGCCTCTTCCCTCTTGCCCTTCGACCAGCGCATCAGCATCACCTACAAACCCTCCTCCACCCACTGACCGAAGGGAATGCATCCTTGGCTGAACTTAGCTCTGGCGTCTGTGATAGAGACGAGCAATATTGCACGCATTCTTTCATCCCCGAGAAGGGCTTGCCCAGGAATGGGAGACGTGAGCATGGCCACGAGGGCTGGGCCATGTTCTGCGATGCGTGGGAGAAGGGTATATGAGAAAAGGATAAACCGGACGATTGGTTGGAGACACGTGATTCAACGCAAAACTACAGAAGACAAGCCAGGTAATGTGGTGAAGAATCTCATCTCATTATAGACACCAAGACTCATCTATTATATCGCTCTTCCTTTTCCCTTTTCTCTTCCTTCCCCTGAGCGCTGAAAATTTTTTCTTTCATCTACAACCACCAAATCCCAGGCCAACCAACCAACAAAAGAACAAGAAAAGAAGTCGACATCGGGTATTCGATCCATCCGTATCCCAAACATAAACATAACAAAGTAATATCCCCCAGCTCCACGCTGAAAATCTGCATCTGTATCCTATCCCGCAATTCGTTGGTATGTACCCAAATCACCCCTTGACGTCCATGCACCCAAGATCAAGGGAGTCTACTCCTCCTCAGCAACACTCCCAACCAGCACACTCGCCTTACTAGTCTTCTTCCCTAACGTCAACCTGCTTAGCCTTTTCCGTACACTCCCCACCCTTGACCCAACTGAGCCCTCTCGACTCAGCCCCCCTGCCTCCCCTCTCCCCCCCTTCCCACTCTTCCCACTCTTCCCTCCACTAGTCTTCGGTCTCTGCTCGGACGAGCTTCGTCTAGCAGTCCCAAAATCACTCTCAGTAACCCACTCACTCTGCTCACTCAACTCCCTTCCCCTTCCACGCCCGATGGAACCAACGCCTCCGCCACTGAAGAACGATTTTCGATTTTCCTTCGAGCGAGAACGTTCGCTGCCATCCTCACTGTTGCCTCTCCCACGGCCGGATTTGCGGTTCCCATTCCCGTTCCCGTTCACGAGAACGGCTTCATTCGCTTCCCGTTCTTCTTTCGACGCTACTGGCTTTCGCTGCAGGAAGGAGAGTCTAGAGCGAGCGGTGCGGTGGCCAGGCGTATCGAGAATGTCTGTTGCTTGTGTGGCGAGGGTACCGTTTGTGTTGGAGTTCGGGAGGCCGCGGAGCATTTGCGAGTTTCGGAGGGAGCGGTCGCTGAGCACGGGGGAGGAGATGGCCCAACTTGGGACTGGTGTCGGATCGCGAACGGCTTGGGGGAATGTGAAGGATGCTAGTTCGGGGGCAAAAGTTGATTCGAAATCTACTTCTATCAGCTTTGATTCTCAAAGTTGGGTGGGATGGGGAATGTACTTTGACTCAACTCTTCGACCGTAAGACTTGAGCCCGCCAGCGAAGCTTTTGGCAGCTTGCCAAGCAAAGTAAGACATCTCTTGATCATGACAGCATGATCAATCAACGCAACCTTCAGCGCATTCTCAAGCGGACTCAGTTCCACTTCCTCAACCTCGCCATTCTCAATCAGGGTCGGTAGTAGCTCCCTATACCGCGCAACAGTCGTCTCTGAGTTCGCCGCCACGGAAATATTCAGCGCATCGATGAGTAAGGGTGCCATGTCCGCCTCCCCATCGCTGACTTTCTTCTCGACGACCACCATCTCTGTCGTCTTACGGATGATTCTTTCGAGCGCTGTTTGCACGGGAGAGAGGTGAATCCTGTCGGTGGAGATGATTTCTGACCGCCGCAGGATGGTTGGGAATGGCTCGAGGGTCTTGTAGATGATCTTCTCGGCGCTGTGTTCGGTTACTGGACCAGAAGTGTTGCGCTTGCTGGTCACTGAGAAGTCTTGTGGGTTGGTTGAGAGAAGATAATCACGCACAACTTGGGGAACTCTCGCTCGCTGGAAGACATGGTGCTCGAGATCGCGGTGCGGTGATAGTGCTGAGATCTGCAGGAATTGCCCTTCGACGTCCTCAACCTCACCACTTGTGACGATCTGCGCAGACGGATGCTGTTCTTGCATGCGATCCGTGAATTGTGTGGTCCTCTCGGTTGGTGAACCTTCGCATACAAACTCTTTATCGCGCAAAGATGGCGGGAAGCCCATCCCCTTGTACACGACGCGGAAGTATTTAGGCACCAGCTTATTGCTCTTGGAAATCGTTTCGTAGATGGTTGCAATAGCTCGTTGCGTCCTCGCCAATTTGGGGAGATCGTACACATTATTCTGGTACTGCTCTTGCAATTCCTGATAAGCGCTGAGTGCACTACTCCACGCTTCCCCATCTTCGAAATGCTTGATGATGTCGAAGTAGATCTTCTCTTTTCGTTCGAAATGTGACTGAGCAGGGAATTCCGGGTCGATGAGAGGCGGGAGGATTTTTGTCGGGTCCCAGTCGTAGAGGTCGGCATGCAAGCGGAGTGCAAGACCTGCTTCTGTGGGGTTTCGAGCATCGTCTTGGAGTTGTGCTAGTTGGTGGACGTAACGGATAAATATCTCTTCTTTCTGCATATCCCGGAGGAACTCCATGAGTCGTAGACGATGAATCATGTGTGAAGCTTCGCCGGTGACATCGGTACTGTGTACCGCCACCAAGAGATCGAGGAATTCATGGATGGTTGCTATCAGTTCCTTCAACCCAGCATAGAGCGGATCATCCTCAACCTGACCGAGAGTATCGAAGAGACCGAGAAGTTCATTGATAAATAACTTCTGAAGAATGCTTTCAGTCAACGGTTTTGACTTGAATAATCGATCCAAACAATCAATCATCTCAGTCTGGATAACAGACAAGTCCTCGCTGAGAGTCCACTCGCTGACAATCATCGTTTGCAGAACCTCGACAGCGACCCCTCGCAGACCCTCGTGCACACTGAGACAGAGTTCAACGATGGGACCAACAAGCACAGGTACATATTGTACTTGGTAACCACCCATCTTCGTCAAGCCGTATCTTTGCTTCTCATCAAAACTTGTCTCCCATCCAATAGCTTCCCAAGTATGCCGCAGAAGCTCAGCACCATGTTCTCTGACATCACCAGCAATCTTCCATACTGCTCTTCGTTTCTGCTCGGGGAATGTCTCGAGAGCAAGGGCGTCGCTACCCACCAGCTTCAGCAGAACCGTGAAGAAGACCTTCCACAGCTCAGTGTTGTAGCTCTCGGCTTCGTCAGGATGTGGTAGGAACGACTCCAACAGGATCCCAGCAAGGTATTCAAGAATCCTCATCGTCGATTTGTGGTGGTAGATATGCACACTCAGCCAATTTGCAGGGAAGGCTTCACATTCCAGGATGCTGAGATGAACATGTAGCGTGTCTTCGAGAAGGGTAGCCATTTCATCCTCAGCAAGCTCAAGCTGCATGCCAGCAGGTCGGTTGGAAATTGCTGAGAGGATAGCAGACAGCTCGATGAGAACCTCATCAAATTGAGAGTCTCCCGAAATCGGCTTGCTCGGGAAGGGGTATGTGGTTGGGAAGAGCAATGATAATCGCGTCTTCGGCGGTTTCGGGGGTGCTTGGAGAGCGAGGTAAGAGTCGATAATCTTTGGAATGTAGTCCGGAATCTCGGGACCAAGGCCAGCGACTTGCGTCGACAGAATCGAGCAGCAGAGCCGGACCTGTTCTCTCCACTGCTCAGTGACTTCTGCCGTCTTGCCCCAATGGGGTGCAATCCATCGAACTGTATTCGCGCTGAGGGCAGCCTTTTGCTCAGGGTGCGAGAAGAGGTCCAGCTTCGAGTAGTTGATGACCAGGACAAGTTTATACAGGATCAACTTCCCCCTGACCTCAGAACACGAGTCCATGAAATCGATGGCGATATGTAGAATCTCTTCTGTGCTGAGCAGACCCGTGAGTTCAGGTAACCAAGTATGAAAGTGTTGAACAGCCAACGTCTGACTCCCAACAAGAATTGGAGCATTGTTTCGCATTAATCCATCCAGCGCTTTGAAGATACCTCGCAGATGCCGTGTGAAACCTGGAGATGTGCTCATGATGCCGATCCCAGCTTCCTTGGCTTTCTGCTGGCCCCGTGCATGGGTGATGAACTTGAGAATATGTCTCACAACTTTAAATGTCGCTCTCAACTTCCTCGAGGTATCCGGATCCGAAGGCTTCGCAAGCAATCGGGTGAAAGATCTCACCAAACATGGCGTCGCGAAAGGGTAGTTGAATTTGTTCTCCGCATACTGGTCAACCAGGGGTCCGAGGTTGAATCTACGATCATGAACAATGCCCAGAACGGTGACCAACGCACTAAAAATGAGATCCTCGTAATCGTCATTGCCAGTATTCTCAACTAAGATGCCGAAGATGGCGTCAAAGACATCATTGAGCAGCTTCACGACTTCAATTTCCGGGACAAAGACTAGCCGCTTCAGCAGTTCCTGGACATCTCCTGGTGGCTGCTCTTTCCATTTCAACAATCCGAGGAGCACCTTGTCCTGCGAGAATCGAGTACTGCAAAGATAGGTCTGCACTCTGAGTGTGGCAATTGGCCCCGTTACAGCTTCGTCCTTGCTGACATCATCCTTGCCCCTCGCATTCCAATTCAGATTGAGATATCCGGTTCTGCCTTCTCCTTTACCCCTTGTAGAGCTGGTGGTATCATCATATCTGTAAAGCAGCAAGCTGTGGTGGCCATCGCGCATGAAAGCCCCTTGGTCCCAGAGAGGCATGTAACAAATCGCAAACGGTGAATTCGGGGCATCGGAGAGCATCATGACAATGTGGGAGCCTGGAACATCCCCTGGAGATATAGCAAGGCGAAGATTCTGGTTCCAGCCATCGCCACGTTCAGCTGCCGTGGATTCCCATGTCGATTGAGATTCAGAATTTGATGAGGGGAAGATTGCGCCTTCCATTCGTTCCCCGTTTGCACGTCGGACTTCCAACGTGATCTGAAGGTTTGATCCGGTGATACCAGAAGAAAGCGGCGTTGCGCTGCCAGCGGACCGGGAGAGGAGAGCGTGACGAGGTAAGAATGCCTCATCAATTGTAACATAGATATCTGATCTTGGCTTGGTAGGAGCACCCGAGAAGCCCATCTTACTCGTCCTGGCAACCCCAGAGAGGAGGGTTGGGGTGGCTTTGATGAGCGCATCTGCATCCGGATTCTCGAAGGGCTTCAGATGTATCTGTAACCGCTCTGCTCTTCGTGTTTTCTCGAAGTGACCCGACTTGCTCTCCATCAAATCCTTGATAACGTCTTCCCAGCCATCTTCCTGCTTCTCGTGCCCAAAACCAATAGACGGAGACCAGATGGTCATGACAGACTCCACTTCATCTGCTTGCTTCATGATCGAATTGACCTTCAGAGCTCCAATTCCCATTGTTCTGTTAACGATTCGGCTGACAGTCCCTCTCTGCTCACTTGCAGCAGGCCCTCGAGAATCGGCAGTACTTGGGGGATCTTGACCATCATCTGTACCTTCATGCTCAGAGAGAGAGTTCAGCTTGGACGATATTGGTGCATTTCTCGAGAATGCTGATCTTTGTGATTTCTGGCCCCACATCAGGCTTCGTCGTCCAGACTTGCTTCCACCACCTGAAGACTGAGACTTCTCGCTTTTTGTAGTCGAGCCATCTCTTGATACCAGGCCACTCCTTGAACCTGGTTTGCCTGCAATGACCTGCGCGGTCGATCGAATTTTGACTACCAGAAAGAGCTCGGTATCCGTAGAGGGCAAGTCTCCAATATCGGCCGAAGCAAGATTCGTGAAAAGTGTCCGCATCTGCCCAGCCTTTGCCAAACCTGTCAGGGCGCCACTTGGTGGAACCTCCACAATATAACTCTCGCTCAATGCCACGGCAGCTTGTCCCGGAGTTTTTGAAGCAAGAAAGAACACCAAGGTAGTCGATTCGGTATTCGCGCCCACAAAAGCCTTAACATCAATCAACAAATGGTATAACGTGGGGTTCTCATTGGCAGGAGGTTGCGGCCGTTCGTCCAGTAGGCTCATCATAGACTGCAGCTTCGTGATTTCGACCGCCGAGTCTTCGCCCGTCAGCACTCTCCCCCGTTGCGCCGGATCCCGTACAACGACCTCCCCATTAAACACCTTGTTCCCCCTGACCAAATCCCAGACCGTCTTCTCCCTCAAACTGCCCAACTCATGTGTTGTTAGCACATTGTGGAGAAACTGCCTCCTCGACAAATCTAGACCATGCACCAGTGTAGACATCTTATCCAGCAGCGGATACTGCCTGCTTAACAACAACTCATGTAGATTCGTAGAATGCCATTCCCTCAAACAGCTCGCGATTTCGTCCACCAGCGGCTCGGAAGCAGAGGTCGGCGTCTCGTCGCCAATCTTGAGCATCGGCACTGGAGCTGGCGGTTTAGGTTGGTCCGGCTCGCGTGGGGCATTGACAGACAGCGCAAGCGTAGCATGATTCCCATTCATGAGCTGCTGCTGCTGCTGCGGATTCTTCTTCTTGATCTTCCCCCCAGGCCTGCTTCCCTTCCCCCCCGAAGGTCTGCCCGAGACCCGTTTGCGCAACTGCGAGCTCAGCGGGCTGGCCAGCGGACTCCCATCTGCATTGACGCCGCTCCCCCTATACCCCCCTGACTGCGCTTCCCCATTCACTTGCCCATCCTCCTCGTCTCCCTCCTCATCCTCACCCAGCACCTCGCGGACCTCCACACATGATCTTGGAAATATGCCAGAGAAAACACGCGCCTCCAGAGTCTGCCCCTTCACGCTCGTCAACCCTGCCAGCAAACTCGGCGGCGCGACCAGGTATCCACGGAACCAGTCCCCATTGCGTCCGCCTTGCTCGATGATGTAGAGTTCGTCGCCGAGCTCGAGTGGGAGGTCTGCGGGCTCGTGGGCCGCGAAGGGAAACGTTGCGACGGCGAAAGCGATGCGTGGGAGGGGCTGCCAGGGCATTGCTCCCTTTTCTATGCTCTAGTCGAAGAATCGAGGGAGAGTCGAGGAATGTTCCGAGAGCGCGCTGCGGGCTCAGGAACGGGGTCGTGATTGGTCGATTATCGGGATCGCGGGGGGCGGATTCATGAGGAATGTTTGTTTCGTTTGCGGGCTGCTAATCGATATCTGCTGATGAAGAACTAGGTTGTGGAGGACACTGGGGTCTGGATGGGATTGTCGACTGAGGTTGAGGTTAGGATGGATGTGGAGAGAAAGAAGTCAGAGCGCACAGATTATTTTTGTGATGTGAGACCACAGGCTGCTGGGAGTGGAGTGGAGGTGGTGATTATTGCTGCTTGTCTGCCGATCCCCTCGCTTGCTCGCCTTTTTCACGCCCCTGAAAAACTGCAGTCTTGCTCCCTGTCTCTCGTGTTCGCGAGTCAATTGTCCAATGTCCAATAAATAATGCCAAAGGACGGCGACGTTTGCAGAGCAAACGTTGCACACTTGCTTTTTCGATGTTTGGGAGGCAAACAAATGCTTTTTCCTCTCTGTTTCGAGAGCCGTATTAGAGTTGAGGGGTGTGCTCGTTTCCTGCTACGGTATCGCTTATGTGGGCGCGAGCGGCAAGCTAGGGGATAGATCAGGGGTTCTAAAGTCAGTACAGTATGGGCTGTATGGCAGAGGCACAGCATCAGGTACTGGAGCACGTGGAGAGCGGTGGACTGCATAGGAGACAATCGCTGCCCGCTGCTCGATAGGGCTTGACAACAATTCTTCCCGGAGTATACAGACCACCAGGACCCCCTATCCCTATTTAATAATCTGTACGTAAATGGCCTAGTTGGGAACAGGAGACACGTGGAAAGCCCGCTCACGGACCCTCTGCAATTGGCCAATGGCAGAGCTCTCGCTTCGCGGTGCAGACCGTTGAAGGCGTTACAGATCAATATATCGAGGAGAGCTAAGGTTAATCCTCCCGAGATGATGGGCAGTATGGGGCACGGGGCTGAAGATATTGATCCGGAGGAGTTACAAGGCACGGGAGATGTTGGTTTTCATTTCTGTTTTGTTTATTTTCTCTTTGGTTCTCATACAGACAATCGAAACGCCCTCCAAATGCAAATTCCTGTCTTGAGATGAGTGTTGTACCGCCGAATACGCCACCAGGAAAGGAAAGTCATCAAATCGTAACATCGCTCTCGAGGGGGTATTGTGAGCAGTCGAAGCCATTGCAATCCACGCTCTCTAGTCAAACCCCCGAGACACGGAAGCTGATGGTGTCAAGCCATGACACCTCCATCGCTCACTGAGTCGAAACCGGATGCTCGCTATCCAGGCCACGAACGATTCCGTAACTGGTTCCAGCCGCCGCAGCTCCAACGATGAGCGTCTGGAAAGCTCCGTAGAACGCAGACCGCTTTGTGCCAACCGTCACCCAGTTCTTGATGTATCCGAAGACGAGGAGGACGACGGCCGTGATGCCAATGGAGACGAAGAGGGCGTGGGTGACGTCGGACATGGCGAAGTAAGGAATCATCGGGATAAGTCCACCTGAGATTGTCAGTCCTGGAAGTCGGAGGGAGGGACGAAGAAGAGCATACCAATCAAGTAGGATAGACCCATAGTGAGAGCAGAGACGTATTTACGATACCATTTGGGCTTCTCAAGCTTGAGCTCGAAATCCATCATGAACTAAATGCGTTAGTTTCGCCTGGATACCAACCGAAGGAGCGCGTACCTGAATCCATTGAGCCTCATCTGAAACCAATGCTTTGATAACAGGGGTGAGGGTGTCATGTGGGATGTTGTATTTTTCCAAGATCTCGTAGCACTCCCGTTCCTCCGTCTTGGGGAATGCCTCAACCTCTCTTCGTTCTCTCTCGTACTCAGCATCATAGTGATCACTGTCCGAGACAGCTGCCAGGTACGCGCCGAGACCCATTGAGATTGCCCCGCTAAAGAGTTCAGCCAGTCCACCGATGACAACCAAATTGGAAGAGCCCAGTCTGTACCTTGTTAGCATTGGTAGAAAAAAGAGAACAGGAGGACATACGAAGAGAGGCCGGCAGTCAAGGCGAACGGAACGGTCAAGCCATCAGCAACGCCAAGTATAATGTCGCGAAGGACTTCTCCATGGGTCGAGTGCCTCTCCGCATGATCTTCTTCGACCTGTTTAGCCAACTCCGATCGAGGCTCTGCAGTTGGGTCGAGGGTGGTATTCGAGGAGCTCATCGTGAAAGGAGGTTGGGGATTGACCGCAGTCTTCTCGCTGTGGAAGGAAGAAGAAGTCATCTCAACTTCTTATATCGAACTATTTTGAAAGGCTCCAAGGCGAGCTAGTGCACTGAGCGCAGAGCGCTACAGAAAAGACAAATGTCGCCAGGTACAGGCCCGTTCAATGTTTGCTCGTGGCAGCAGTAACGGTGACTCTTACGCGACTGTTGTTCAATGGCGAGAGCAGCATTCTTAAAGAACTGGTTGCATGCGGCACAAAGATGAAAGACATCTTTTCACTAAAAGGCCAGACTGCTCGCAATGACATCTTATGGCTGCGGCACCTGCCTCATGGGCCAATGCACGGGGAAGCGAGTCATTCTGTGTGTCGCTGGCAGACAACATGAAGACCACGCAACACTGTGAGGCGACGGCAAACTGGAAAGCTGAGCTGCACACTGGCCAATCGCAAGACAGGGAATTGTAAGCAGCCTCTGAGTGGCTGGTGTGGCAAGCCGAACTCTGCAGCAGGAGGCAGAGGGATCAGTCGCTTCACAGTACTGTAGGAAGGAGTGCTGACATAACCAACAATAAAATAACTTCCCTTGCTTCCTTCCAAACGAAAGAGAGTGACGAGGAATAGAGTTTAGGTTTAGATAAATTAGATTGATGCTAATTGCAAGCTCATGCATTGCATGTCTTAGCTGCTGACTAAGCTCACGTGACTGGAACACTGAGCCGAAAACAGTTTGACTCGGAAGCGCCCTGTCTTTCATCCTTTGAAATCTTTTTGACATCTGCCAACTGCCAACTGCCAACTGCGATGGTAAATGATCCGAACCGTATCTTGTATTCGATTTCATGAAGCTTTGCTTTCTCTCATGTTCCGGTCCATTTTGTCCGATAAGGAAGGGAAGGGGATCGCGTTTTTCATCGTTTTCGCGTCTCACATGCCCTCAAGCAAGCCAGGCCTTCCATTTACACCTCCATGTCTTCTTTGCTGAAAATTCGAGTGCAAGCGCCTCAATCCTGTCTCTACCTTCCACGAGTTACCTCATCGAATCTCCCAAAACTCTGCCCCATCTATTCCTCCACGCGTCACATGTCGCCACCGCACAGCCCAAGCCGCGGCAGGCAAGGTTCTCCACACGATCTTCGCCATCTTCATCCCTGTCACTGTCCAATCGTCCGTCCCCAGTACCTGCAGAATCCCTGGTGCTTATTGTTCCCCCTATCCCATACCCCGTAAAGTCCTCTCATCGCTTTCCCCTTTCATCTTCTCTCCGGCACATTTCCCTCCAATGAGGATGTTCCTTCATCCCAGTTCCAAGAAATAAGATTGTACAACCTTGCACGTTTTGCGGAGGAGAGTACGGAATCGTTCAGATCATCAGCATCACAAGCCAGTACTTTGCGGGGTATCCAACGGACAAGGTCCTTTCACCGAGCTGATGGATGATCTTCACCGCTTGCAAGAGCAGTATATCTTCTTGTGTTCCCTTCCCTCCTTGAGGCTCGTCCCACCTCACCCATCTCCACAAAAACAAAAAAAAGACCTCATTCCAAGCATTTTCCACCCCAAAAAGACAAACATCAAAATGCACATCTCTCTCCTCCCCATCTCTCTGCTCGTTGCAAGAGCTTTGGCAGACGGCGCGGCAATAGTAGCAGCCATGACAACCATCGGCAACGCAACCGTCAAGCTGAACAGCACCGTCTCCTCCTTCCCCGACAACCCGCTCCTCGACCTCCTCGACGTCGGGGGCCTGCTCACCGACTCCATCTCTCTGCTGAACGACATCAACGCCGCAACGCACATCGCGCAAGCCTCCGCCAACCTCACTCTTCTGGAAGCCATCTCCCTAGCACAATCGACCATCTCGCTCGCCTCAATGGTCGAATCCACCTTGACGAATATTGTCAATTCCAAGCCCAAGTTCGACAAACTGGTCGTTGTGTCACCGGTTATTCTCCTCAATTTGAAGTCGGAGAAGAGCGCGACGGATAGCTTTGGGGCTGCGGTTGTGGCGAAGGTCCCCGCTGCGTTACAGGCCACGGCGCAGAATTTGCTGGCGCCGATCGATGATGCGTTTAATAGTGCTATTGCTACCTATGGGGAGTTTGCTTTGTGATAATAAGGGGGAGGGGGCGCCAAAGTAGGGAGGAGAGGGGGAAACGGTGTAAATAAGGGTGGCTAATTTGGGTGGTTAGTAGGTGTATTAGCATTATCATTCTACTTACAATAAATGCAATCTGTGAAACGTGGAAGACAAGCAATGTTCTACCCACCTATATAATAATGCCCGCGCCGTCTGTGCACTTTGCGTCCTGTAAAGAAGCCCTCCACTCCATGTCCGGAGCGTATCCCGTGTCTCAGCTTCCACAACCCTTACCATCTCTCTTACCCCTTACTTCGCCTTCCCACTCAAATACCCCACCAGCGCCGCCGGACCCGGGATGATCTGGTACTTCTTTTTTCTGTATTCCTTTGGGAACTCCGTGCGCAACGCCTTCTCCTTCTTAAGAGCCCAAATATGCATCTGCACAAAAGCAACCACCATAAACAACAATGTCGCACTACTCCTCGTCACCAACAAAACACCTGTCCACGCAATCATCTCAAACAAATAATTCGGGCACGTAACCAGTCCAAAGCCATACCCTTTCGGGACCCCTCTCTCGGTCCCTCCTGGACTCCGTAATTTCGATAATGTAACATGGGTATGGAAATTGCTGACTTCGCCGAAGATGTAGAGTACCAGTCCGATAATGTCGAGTTTCTGGGTGAGTGGTGTTTCGAGAGCGGTGTAGGAACCAGGAGCGTAGATCCAATATGCAAGCCATGCACCGGATAGGAACCAGTAGTGTGCGGAGTTTTTGAAGATGTTGAAGAGTGGCATGGTGGCTAGTGAGAAGCGGTGGATGAACAGGGTCTCGTACTCTCTCTTCACGAAATGCAGGACGATTATGGCGCATGCGAGGAGTTGGGATGTAGAGAGTGGAGGCAGTGAGCTGGACGTGTAGGGCAGGTAAGGGAGAGACAGCTTGTAGAGGTAGGGTCGGAGGAGGAAGGGAAAGAGGAGGTGGATTATGATAGGGCCCGAGTATTCGATCATGAAAACTGTTGTCCAGGATAATTGGGGGCCTGTATTCCGTCGTCGTATTAGCATACTTCCTCAGATGTTGGGATCGGAATCCGGGGATGTGATGGAGGTATACCAAGATCTTTAACCAAAATCTCCTTCCCAGACAACACAGACTCTTGCTGAGAGATCAACGCCCTTCGATCCTTCAGCAACTTCTTCTTCTCTGGCTCATACAGCCCGAATCGATTCGGATCCCATCCGCCAGCCCGCTTTGCCAAAGTATCCTTCACATCTTGCACGGTGGTCTTGTCCGTGATCTCGATGCTGGTCGGGAGTTTCTTGATTGGCTTTTTCGGGACTGTCTTCAATCAGCATTGACCAGTCAATTGAAGGGGATTTGGGGCCGCATACTGCGGCTAGAGACTTTGAGGGTTACTGGAGGTGCCATCGTGATTCTCACTGAATCTGCGAAGCTCTAGAGATGGTGGGGATGTTGGCAACTTGTTGAGCTGAGCTCAGAAGTTTTGTTGATTTGGCGAGGTGTCGCGTCGCACGTGAGTGGAAGGATCTGCCGAGGTCCATTTGTCGAGCCCCTGTATTTTCGCAACCTCTCGTTCTCCTCCGTATTCAAGTCTTCTCCATCGGTGCTTCGGCGAAAATGTATTCACGAGTGCCTGGAAGCCCATATTCAGCGCTCTGAATTTCTCATTGAAGATTTTTGAGTGTCTACTGCACTACGCCTCTCAAACCCTGGGCAATGTCATGCATCTTATTACAGTAGTATCTTTACTCGCCCCACTTGTGAGAACGCGCCAAGCTGATCCGCAGTAAAGGGGGCGGACGCATCGGAGCGAACTCCTGTACGTGCAGCTATATGTCGGAGACGGGTGTTGCTATAGTGAAAGCACGTGCACACCCTGTCTACTAAACTTTTAGGTGTAAAAGCCTCTATGGCAACAGCACAGCGACATATGATCACCTTACAGGAGTTCGCTCCGATGCGTCCGCCCCCTTTACCAGTCAGAGGTTCAGATCCACGTAGCGTCTCACTTCCAGAAAGATTGTTGTCCGAGTGCAGTAGCGGTATTTCAGAAAAGGGCTTTAACGTTTTGTTCTCGCCGTGCTTGCATTTCCCTCCCTCCTTCGAAGCTAGGAGCCGTCTTGTGCAGGCTTCGGCAAATGGTTCAGTTCTTCTGTGAAGCTTTTCTTCGGTCTCATCACCATAGGCCTAAAATTGGGACGAGGGTCACTGGTCAGCAAGGAATCGGATCCTCGCTTCCAGAAGTTTTTGAATCTTCTCCAGTGTGGGCAAAAACTACTCAAGCTACTCAAGCTACTCTAGAGTAGTCTTGAGTAGAGTAGAGTAGAGTACTACTCTAGAGTAACTCAAGAGTAGTCACGTGAATGTAGTAAATCGGTATTTATTTAATTATTAATAAATAAATAAGGTACCCATTAAGTAGCAGTATATAATTTAAACTAGAGCTTATATAAGGCTATTTAAATACTATTTTTTTTTTTATAAAAAACAGATTTCCCTTCTCGGAATCTTTCTTTTCCTTCTTTTTTCCTTCCCCCCTTACTTCTTCTAATTCGTCTTTAAATAACCCCTAACTTTTTAAGCAAGATATTATCTTAATAGTACTCTTATTAAGTCCATTATGTAATTTAGATATAATAAGAGCACCTTGAGAGAAGAGTTTGCCCTTAATAGCCGAGGAAGCCTAAGAATATATTATGGTTCTACCTTGCTTACCAAGCCTTGCCACTACTTGATTGGGCAGTGTAGTGGCGCTAGACTCGGGCCACCCCGGATCCTTACCCAATTAGGCTAGCGCGTCACGTGCGCGTCACGTGTACCATCACGTGCGTACTACTCAACTACTCTAAAATATTCTAGAGTAGTTGAGTAGAGTATTGAGTAGAGTATGAGTAGTGAGAAATTTATTTGAGTAGAATATGAGTAGGTCCCACTACTCTACTCTACTCTACTCATTTCCCACACTGATCTTCTCACTCCATAGCACCGTCAATATGCATGAATCTTGAGACATGGGGATCTCTTATAAATCGACGACTTTAATCAATCTGGGGATTTCGTTGCGTCTCCTATCTTGTTGGTTTTTTTTTTTTTCACTGACTATCAAGGTCCGCGTCATCATGCTTGGCGTTCCCAACTCACCTTCGAGTCAGCCGCATGTTTCTTCGTATCGAGCTGTGCCTCTTGGCATGAAACCTTTTAAATGCGTGGCAGCTTCGATTGATCTTTCTCCATCGCAAGATCTCGTGGGGATTCCGTGCTTTGTTTAGTCAAATATGCCCTACCCGCGAGTGTTGGAGAATGGGGTAGTTCTTGGGATAGTCTTCCCCCTTGCCATGTCACCGTCAGCTACAGGAACGCTTCTGTAGCTTCAACCTAGTGAACTGTGCCGCTAAACACGAGATTCGAAATAGACTGTATTTATATAGATTTTTGAGGCGGACAGTCTTCAGATCTAGGAAGCTGTGCCACTTCTTGAGTCTATAAAACTTGCCTTTCTCTCCTGTCCTTTTGCTAGACTTTATCACCTGCCTTCTAAACCTCATGCACTAGCCCCGAAATTTGAACACACTTCCTCAAATCATTTTGTACCTCCGAAAATGAAGCACTCAATTTTCAGCTTCATCGCTGTCTCAGCGGTTAGCATGGCAGCAGCACTAGTGATCGCCCCATATATTATCCTATTCGTAGATAAATACTCACGCTATCAGGACAAATTCGCTTCCAATTACTCTTCCTGGAAGCCAAACCCTTCTGCCGTCAATTCTTACCACTCTTACAATTCCCAGAAGCCATACTCTTCTGCCATCAACTCTTAATCTGCCCGGGAGTCAGACCCTCCTGCCGTCCACTCTCCTCACTCTCACGTTAACTGGAAGCCAAACCCTCTTTCCCTCTACTCTCACCACCCCCACCCTTCCTTTCTTCACCAACACTCCGCAAGACCTCACAGCTCTCGCAGCATCTCACCAATCCAGTCCCACAACGATGTAAAATTCCATCCCATCCCATGTTCGCAGACGGATACTAACCTCATCAGCATGCTTCCATCGTTCTACTCCCCAACCCACAATCAGCTCATTCTTCCAATTTTCTCCCAGACGGCCTTTGCTAGGACAACCTACGTCATAACAGCTTCGCTCGAGACAGCCCCTGCTGAGATGGCATATGCTTTGACGGGCTATGCTCAGACGGCACCAGCGGATGAACCAAGCACAACATTTGCTCTGACGACGTACCTTGTGACAGCCTCTGCCGTGACGGCCGCAAACCAAATCGCTGTCACCACGTATGCGACGATTGTCTACCCTCTACGCGAGCACAACATACACCGAAGCATAGCTCAGGATGCCGCGATGCCTTGAAATATCTACCTATCTATCTATACGCCGAAGAGATAGTTTCTACTGTACTTTACTTTGTGCTAGGCTTACGTGGAACAATCACGCATACCCCAGAAGTAGCTCATACATGCATGTCATCACTCTTGGAAAACAAGTCGTTGTACTAGTAGCTCAACGTTTCATTGGATAACTTTCTCAGTATGTCTCCTCATCTAACTCCCCCTTCTTTCCGTCCTCACAACCTCCCCTTCCGTCCTCGAGAATGTTCAAGCTCAATTCACATCACGGCGCAAACCCCCAGCCAGCATTCCCCCATCTCCGCACGGACAAGGCATAGGAATACATCCTCCTCTCAAGTGCGGCTCTGTCTGGCTCTGACGATCTGAGGCAGTCTCTGCTCACACATTGTCCGGTACTTGGGCACTGTTAATGGTTAGCAGAATGCGCTTATTTGGTGCCCGGGAAAGAAAAGAAAGAAACAGGACGAACAGACCTCATATTCTGAGGAAACCTAAGGCCCAAGGGAATCTCCCGCAATCCCTGAATTGCGAAATGCTCTTCGATTTCCGTCTGAAAGTCCCTTTGGGAGTAGGTTGACATATTGCCCCGTGTTTGATATCGATGTGGTGCTCGTGGGAGGAGGAAAATACAAGGGGACATCTAGAAGAAGGAGTAATGGTGAGAGATTGGCTGGCGTTTTGTGCTCAGGAGGAACAGGGATTCGTGATTGTGCTCCCCTGCCTACTTGAATCACACCTCGAAGAGGAAGTAGTGGACCGAATATTTGTTGTTACGGAATGAACACTACACGCCTACCTACCCCTTCTACAACTAATTCCAGATATATGAGCTATCTTCCGCCGCATATAATCTTGCAGCACATTTTCCAGCCCTTCTGGCCTCAGTGTTTCTCTGAGAGCTTTATTTGTCACGAGGAGGTGGTTGGAAAGCTCCGGAGTATTCGAGGAATCGCGCTGATATTCAGAGCTTAGCCTGCGATATATTATCCTTGAAGGCGCTCCTTCTTCCCTCCTACTTCTCTTCTGTTGTATTATTTACACCCCTAATTGACTTCTGGTGTTTGCCAATGTTCGAAGATATTCTGTTCTCTTTCCCATCGACAACCCCTATCCACCCCCTCTTCTCTTCGTGTATTTTCGGCCATGTCTCGTCCTGGTGGAATTCTTTCGCGCGGTACAGTGGAGGGGTTGGCAGAGATGATGTACTGGATAGGTCAGCGCTATGCATCTTGGCGAATGCTACAACGGGCAGCGAAGAGGAGCTTAGCGGAAACATCGCACCTTGGATACCTCAGCAGTGTAATCTCCCTTCCAGCTGGAACTTGCTGTTAATTCATCGCCGGGGGTTGCGGGGTCGAGGAATGCGGGGTGGTGGAATTGATGTTGCTCGAATACGTCGTATTCTCGTATTCAACGCCACATCGCGGGTCGGCACGTCGCCCAATCATCGTGACTCCCCCTTTCGACGGCCCACTTTCTTTGTTGACGACGCAGAAGGTATGAAATCGTATCAATGCTGAGGAAGGAACTGATGGTGGTAGAATTTGAGCGGTGGGAGAGGCGAGATGGCGCTGCGCGTCGCGAAGGCAGTGGGAGGCATCGGTGGAGAAATACTTTGAAGTGTTTAGAGAGAAACTCGAGGGATATCACCGCAGATAAAATGGATAAGCTTAATATTCTTGTTGTAGGATTGACGATTACATACCGAGACTGCAGAAGCCGTGCTGTATCGAAGCTCGACGGTGACATCGAGACTCCAGACCGCGATCGTGAATACGCAAATTCTCCTTGCGCTGACCTCAATCCAGCAAGCCCCAGTCACTTCTCAATTATTTTCTCATGGACATAGCCTTTGACAGACAGTTGGGCGCAGCTGCAAGTACTCACCGCATTCCTTCCAAGAGCGTGTCGGCTCGCAGCCGCGTCTCGCAGCCTCGCTGGGCCCAGCATTCGCAGCCTCACGCTATGCTCGGCAATCAACCAGCACTGCGAGTGTTTTGCGAGGATGCAAAATGGTTTGCACTGTTAGTAACTGCTACGCCAACCAATGGGATGCTGCGAGCTTCCCGCGCTAAGTAGTTGATCCGAGTCTCAGGCTCGACTATAAATTCACGCCTTTGGTTGCGAAGAATCCATCTTCCTTCCTTCAACATCAGCTTCGCAGCAGCGTTTCTTTGCACCGCGCAGCATCATCACAACACCAACGCCATCCCAAGCTCGACACTTCTGCACTCCAATGGAATCATAGCAGGTCAGTACAGTTCTCTTTCCCCTTTCCGCACACGGCGATGGCATCACGACGTCGTCAATGAAAGGTGACTCCTTGCTTCCCACCTTCGGGGGGTTCCTGGAGGGTACCTAATCGTCTACGGGCGAGGATGGCCAGTCCCGGTAGTTACTGAGTGAGCCTTAATTGTCCATCATGCCTATCTGGCGCAGGTGGCGAAGTAGGGGCAGACCGGTGGTTCATGAAGGGGGCGTGCATTGCAGCAGACTCTGAAATAACGATCACTCCTTTGCGCGCCTCGATTCATCAGAGCTAGACATGGCTTGCCACGGCCAACCTTCGGGGAACCATCGGTCGGCCTCCCTGCGTCGTGCGGATTGGGTGTAGAGGTCTTCGGGATTCGGTTTGCTTTTGTTGGACATTGGCTGACTTTTGACCAGGTTCGGGAGCAGAGGCACTCTCTTGCCCACGGGCTTGAGAACCTCTGCGACCGGATCGCGCCCAACATGAGTCTGGCCTTCACGTGGCGTTGGGTGTTAAGTCTCGCAGCTTGCATGCTCGAGATACCAACAGACTCCTAGATAGATCAATGCAAATTCTTCTCCATCATCTGTGCTCCTCTTGTTTGTGATGTCCTTGACCCGCTGTGACTTCGCGACCTTGCCTTCTGTTGTCTTCCACTGTCGCGTCTCGATTATTTGCTGTACTCGAGGTCCTTCTTGCATCGACGCGTCTCGAAATGTCTTTGTGCTGTGCAACGGAAGCTCTCGGCCGCATATTCATCTAACACCATATCCACGGTCTGTTTCCGTCGCTGCTGGCATCGCGGTTCCTGGGTCTCTCTGCCGCCCGATATTCGCTATTTCAGCCGCTCTTTCCCATCGCATCCATCATTTCAACTCCAAGCCAGCATGCTTCCAGCGCGTATCCTCCTTTCCCCTTCCCGGTCCAGCGAATGCCGTTTGCTCCGAACTTCTATCGTCTTGTCTCTCCTCAGCTTCTAGTCCTGGGGAGCTCCCCACCTCGTTCCTTCTCGCATCCTCTTCAACACCACATGTACTGTACGCAGTCACACCTGGACCAACCTCCACACCCCATTCCAATTCTCCTTTTTCACGACTCTCTAATCTCCTCTTCACCTCATCTTCATATCCCTCTCTCGTCAATCCGGTTGCAGCAACGATGTCGTAGATTTGTGGAGATTATGAACATTCACTGCAGACTGTTGACCTCCCTGGGCTCCTTCTCGCGCTCCACCTCCCCCTGTACTGGAACTGCAGCTATGTACTCCTCTGACACAATGTTCAAAGCTGACTTTCCACAGAGCAGAGCAATTAACCCCTCTCTCTTCTCTGCCGTCTCCGAGCAACCCTCCCACTCTGCGAACGAGACCGAGGAGGCAAGATCCGGAGACCAGAATAAAATACAGACATGTCGAAACTGATTTGCTGCCGCGGACATTGAAGGAGAGACGTGGTTGCTGAGGGAGCAATGGTATTGAGACTCGAGACAGCACTTAACGGAGTGGAAGAAAAGGGCAGAGCTTTCTCCGGGGGAGGGGCTGGACGTAATTAGGGCTGGCGTATGGAGCTGCACGATATCGAGAAGTTCTTCGCTTCTTTCCTGCCAACGTGAAATCCTTTGGGTGATGAAGAGGAAGGCGAGGTTGGTTCGAGTTAAAAGCTAGGTATCTCGCACGACGGCGAGAATACGGAGGAGTGGTTGAGCTGATGGAAGAGCTGGTTGGTAGGTGGTATCTTCGGACAATGCAAGAAGACAAATGAAGGTGGAGTGGTTGCAACTTGTTCAGGATAGGGGAAGGTTAGAAGGGTATGGGGGGCCACCCAACTCTTGGAGGAAGTAGCTTGGGTCCAGGAAGACTCTGTTGATGCTCCTGTGCAAGATACCTGTGAATATAGATATACGGAGCGATAGGAGGGTATTGGGGAGGCAACTCCTTCAGAGGATATCGCAGATGCCCTGTAACACAGAGGTTGGCAGGCTTCGTAATTTCTATCCTTGGCATTGATAGATGTCTCTGGTACCATGAATTGAGAAGATATAGGTGGCAAGTGCTACAATTCGATCATTCGCTTTTCTACCGTTCGATTCCCTCCCCTGCTTTCTTTGTTAAAACAACGCTGCTGGGCCTATGAACAGGGAGATTCGAGATTGTCCTGGAAGCCTAAACAATTGTTAACTTTGAAGAGAGGGGCATCATAAATAAACATTCACCTTTGCAGACAGCTCGGCCCTATTAAAGATGCATGGCAAGTATCCAAACTTGCTCTTCTTGGTGAATGCCATTTATTAATATTCTGCTGTCTTTTTCGACCTCAACCACGTCCCCCTTGCTGATCGACCTGAGTCCTCATGCAACACCAGAGTACAACACCACTTCAGCTACACCCACGAGTCAATATGCTGTGCGCAACCTGCAAGAAGACAGCTGCGAGGGCCTGCAGTCGCTGTCAAGATTGCCCGGCCCTGAAATATGACGAACCTATCGTTCACTACTGCAGTGGCAAATGGTATATTCATTTCCCAGTTCAAACCTTGAGACTTTTGACTTACCCTTCCAAAGCGAGGAGGTCGATCGAGGCCGTCACTTTGTGAGATGCCATCGCCTTCGAGATCGCCGAAAACTCTACCGGGTTTCCGCCATGGCCCAGAAGCTGTTCTACGTTTATCGCGAATTGACGTGGGCACAAGTGAAAGTGAAGCAAGTCGAGAAGATAGGAGACAATCTAGTTCTTCGCGGTAGTGTATAGGCTCCTAGAGGATTTCAGATTCGGTTCTCTTAGAACTGCCTCTGACTGGGATATGGCCTTGTGATTGGCATGAACTTACGAGCTGACAAACCCTTCGTGCTAGCTCAGCGAGTATTCCAAATGGCCAGTGGACTACAGGGCATTCCCATCCGAGCTTTTCACGAGCGCAAATCATAGAGAGGCGGCCTTGAGCTACTTGGGCTGCATCGATGCCATGCAATGGATGAATGAATTTATAGAGGGAATGCTGAAAGGTACGGATGTGATATATCTATAAGCGTGCCTAGCTAACACACCTAGATATCGTCCTTGCGACAGACCAAGTCTGTTTCAAGACCAAGAACGATAAACTCCGAACCCGCTGCTACCCCCTTCACACCTCGAAAGCCGACATCGAGGCCGACACCAGAGGCGTTACGCACCATATCCTGAAAGTCATCCTTCAATCAGGAGAAATGTTTGCCGTTGATCTAGCTGGAGCACAGTACGGATATTATGAGCCAGTTACAGCGTGGAGCGAGTACTACCATCAGCATGTTTTCTTAGAATACTTCGGAATAAGCGTTCCACTGAAATCACCACAAGGAGTGTTGCGTCCGCATAATTACGGCCTCGAGGACGTCATCGCTTCCAGAAAACTTGCAATGGCAAACGATAACCAGAGAGGGCGGGACTGTAACGTCGATTTCCTCGAGAAGTTCAATGCTCACATGGTGGAGTGGCAGTACCGCAAAGTTCTCGGCATCGAGGAGTTACTCGGCTTTCCTATGGAGCAATATCAAAACTTGATTGATGAGCTGGTGGACTTTGTTGAGTGGAAATACCATGCTGAGGGCAAGAGAAACAATCATCGTTGGGGGACGGCGAATGGGAAGCGTTTAATGGCGAAATATGGAGAGAAGTGGTTTCCAGCAAGGCTGGTGAAAGAGAAATCTTGAGCACTCCCTTAGGTTGACGAGTATGGGTAAGCAGCCGAACAACGTCTAGCAATTTAGTGTAGGCGTTCCAAAACCCGGCTTAGTATTTGAAAAGTACTACACTATCAAAGAAGCAGCAAGCATGACAAGCCCACCAAACCCATCCATTTCCGAGCACCACTCCTCCCAATTCCCAGTGCTCCTTGACGAAATCCTGGCACCCAAGGAATTATGGACCTGCGATGCATCACCGCAGTACCAGCTTTGATCTACTTTGTCCAGTTCACCGTTTGCAGCCAAGCCAAAGTCAGTCTGGACCCCAGGTTCCCTCTCCCATTCCGTCTTCCACACAAACTCGTCACCTGCTTCCCATAGTTGTTTCTTCGCTGGCAGCGGTACTAGAATAAGGTCCGTTGGCAGCTCGCACATCGCGGCTGGATCGAAATACACTAGCATATCTATAACTTGATAGACTATGGATAATCTTGGCTTGAATTAGTTTCTTTTTCATTTAAAAGGGTGGGTGGAAACCGAACCTCCGTGTGGACTCATCAAAAATCCAATCTTTCCAGCTAATTCCGAGACCGCAATTACGCAGCGCAGACCGCGTGCTGCATTCGATGTCGCTACGGATGAGCTGTTTAGCCATTGCCTTTAATATTTCAGTAGAGCCAAGGTAAGGTAAGAGGAAAGTAGAAGGGAGAGGGAGAGAGCTGGACCCACTGCCGCCGTTGCGAGTAATAGAGAATCATAGTTATTGTGGTCCGTCTAGCCTTCATCCAGCCTGATGAGAATGTAAATGAGGAGAGCTTGCATGGCAGCAAGCAGTTCCCATTTGTTTAACTTCAGACGCTGAAAGTACCCGTTAGCTTCTTGCGAGTATCCTTCCAGAACTATTAATTTGTTAAAAGTCAACGTACCTCTTCGCACAAACGTTCACACTCCATCTGCACATTTTTTCAGAACAGCTTTCGGCTCCCATGGAACCCGCTGCTGATCATATGCACCAGACTAAGACAGTTGGTTAGTGGCTCCATGTCGTCATTCTCGACATCGGAAGATATCACACGCGGATAGAGGAAGAGTGGAAGGGTGTTGTGGCGCATCATCATCAGGGGATAAGATTTGAGGGTGTGGAGTATAAGATTGGCGATTCTTGGTGTCCCAGCCTTCATTTTTGGTCGCTGGATAAATGACCGGAAAATAGAAGTTGGTACTGTTGGTATCGATACCTTGGGAGAAGAGGGGGCTTGTTGTAAGATTGCTTGAACTGTTTGATCGACCGAAGGTTTCGAGTGACGCACTAAGGATGACGACCTCAATGAGGAGTATGGGACTGTTTCATCGTTCGCCTGAGGATTCAAAAGGTCGGCGAAATCGATATCTGGGCCATTCCAGTCAAGATATTCTCCTCCAATATCTGTGAATTCTGGGTCTGATACAATTACCCCAGTATCGGAAATTATCTCACGATCGTTGCTTGCTTCTTGACGATTCTCGATACTGGGAGTAGTTGCCTCCAATGAAGGCGCTCTCTTCCGTTGTTCGGTCGGCGCATAATCACTGTGCTGAATCCTTGGCAGTGTAACTTTGGGCGTCTTCGTTGGATAATGGCATTCGATGCCCTTCGTGATACACCTCGAGCATCCAGGCCGCCTGTTATCGCAACGCGCCTTCCCTCCTGCACAAGAAATACAAGCCCGAGACCGAGTGGTATTGCCAGCTCTTCGAGACCGACAGTAGTATCCATGTCTCTTCAGCGCGGACTCAAGTGAAGCGCCACATTGTGAGTATGGCTCGGCATCACCAGTTAAAATGGGAATTGTAACTCACGCTTATCGAACGGTTTATTGCATTGCCCGCACCGCAGAACAGATTGCACTTCTCCTTCGTACATTTCGAATTAGACCTCAGCAAGTCATGGGAATTTTCAAGTGAAATGCCTACAAAAGGTACAGTGTATGAAACGTCGTCACTTTTTGTCAGCAGCATTTGTCAGCCCAGTGGCGCAAACCGGGCGGGACATTTTGTACAGGAAAACCGCCGAGCATCCCTGGAACACTCTTTTGTCTGAATGCAGGATAGTCCGTTGGGCGAAACATTTTGCCAATGCCGGGCACGCTTCAATTCCAAGGATCCAGAACCCTCTTCTCAGGCACCATTGGATTTCGCTGTGCGGTGGAGCCCACACAGTCTTTCGCAACGCGACTACCACACCGGGCTTCACAAATTGCACAGCGCTGTTGCTGAATTGGAGTTGCAAACTCAAAAAAATATAAAGATGAGCATTCTTCGCCCAAAAAACTGCTTCTCATCGAACAATCGCCCATCGTCCCCAATCATCCATACATCTTACAATCACCATGGCTGCTCCTTTTCCATCCCCAACCTCAACGTGGCACACGAAAACATACCAATCTCTATCTCCCACCCGACCCGAGCTCTCCGCCAAAGGCAAGACTGTGGTAGTAACAGGAGGGGGCACTGGAATTGGTGCAGAGACCGCTCGCTACTTCGCCGAAGCCGGCGCGTCTCGGATCGCCCTCCTTGGTCGTAGAGAACAACCCCTTCTCGACACCCAAGCTTCCATCGGGCACAAGTTCGCTAATGTCGAGGTATTTGTGGCCCCCACCGATGTCACGAAGAAGAGCGAAGTGGATGCAGCCTTCGCGAAGTTCGCTGGCGACGGCAAAATCCATGTTTTGGTCAGTGGTGCGGCGATCATAGGGCCCCAGGAGCCCGCGGGGGATGCGAGCAGTGACGAATTCCTCGATGCCATTCAGCAAAACCTCACAGGGTCATTGTATGTTGCGCAGGCGTTCCTTCGCTACGCGTCGAGGGACGCGGTCGCCATTGACGTTTCTTCGTCCGCTGCACATCTGAATTTTGGTCCTGGGTTTGCATCATATAGCGTCGCCAAGCTGGCGACATTCCGGCTCTGGGATTCTCTGGCCTTTACGAACCCGGAGCTAAGCATCTTCCATATCCAGCCTGGCGTGGTGGACACTGCCATGAACAAGGAAGCGGGCGGTATCGAAGCGGTCGGTTTCGAAGACCACAGTAAGTGGAATGATGGTTTGCTGAGTAGAGTATTATGAAGCTGACTTTGACTTAGTTTCGCTACCTGCGAGCTTCAATGTTTGGCTTGCAAGCACCGAAGCGCGTTTCCTAAAGGGCAAGTTTCTGTGGGCAAACTCGAATGTAGACGAACTCAAGGCCCGAGCTAAAGAGGTTGAAGCGAGTACGCAGCTTAGTATTGGGCTTGTTGGATGGCCGTTTGAGGAGGGCAGTTGGAAGGACACTTGGAAGTCGAAGACTATTAGTAGTGCTTAGCTAGGTAAGAAGAAGATTAGAGGAATAAGAACGTATGATTATATGGAGAAGCAACCAATTGTTCAATTATTCCACTTCAATGTATCAACCTTTTCATAATAACAGCGGGTTGTTTAACCTAAATTATTACCTGCAAAAAATCTGTTTCTGTTCGAAAGAGTGAGCAGGGTTGCTTTATCGATAATGTTAGGTGAGCTAAGGTGAGTAAGGGTGAGGCGAAGGAGGGAAGTAGGTGTGTAGTGGTGAGCAAAGTAGACGGTGGCAGTCAGCTTGAGCATGCAGGAAGAGGGAGAGGCCATTTTAGCGCCCAAAGCGGTTCCCTTGAGGCTCATTTGCGATCTTCCTATCTTATCTCTATGTTATAAACACAGGTTCCGTTTTCGCTCCGGCCAGAATCCCCCCCGAGCCATTTTTGGATTTAACATTCACAAACGTCTCCTTAGTATCTTCGAGGAACGGCGGAAGATTTCGTATGATTTAAATTTCGGTGGTTTTTGGCTCGCTTCTCTATGCTTCGGATATTTTAATGGTATATTTTACTCTTGTTTTTCTTTTCTTTTATCCTAACTTTTGTTCCTGCCTGTAGAATATAAAAGGCTAAGTTGCTTCGATGGCAGATTTTTTTCGCACAGATTTGGTGTTACATCGGACATAAAATTAGAGGCTGCGCCAGTTCCATCTCAGTAAGTAGTTAGGGTAACCAGTTCGCAAGCTAATCGTCCTGAGATTCGTCCAGGTATGAGATTGCCTCACGAAAGATTAGACAGGAGATGGTTTATGCGTGCTATGTATAGGTAGCTAAAGCTACACGAATTCGACATTGCTAATAGATAACCCATTTCTGTTCTTTTAAATTGTATTTTTTTTGCATGTCCATAGCCTCACCATCCATAAAACCATGCAGAAAACACTCTCCGATAAACGTAAACCTTCCCGTTTCTTCCTCCCTTAAGACAATAGGCACAGAGCAACCGTAGAGCACACAAACGATGTCATTTTTTCGTGCCCTCATAGGCGCAAGGCCCATCTCTCCATCACAGGTAACAAAAAACCGGCGATTCGTTGCAAAAGTCATGGAATAAACCTCCATGGGCCATGTAGATTTGCTCACGGGAGGGTTCGTCCAGAACTCTTCAAAATGACCTAAGCTTATGCGTTGGAAATCCGAGTCCCGATCTGCAAAAAGCGTTCGCACAAATGCCTCCACTGGGCGTGGCTCTCTAAAGTTTCTCGTCGTCGGGCTACTTTCTGTGCGACTATCTTTGTACTTCTGGAAATATTCCACCTTCCAAGTCTCCGAGCTAAAATCAACCCTAATGTCGGCCAAATATGTCGTCAAAAAGTTGTAGATTCGACTGAGTGCATCAACAATCGTGAAAACGAGCCCACAAACGTCTATTTGGCAATTTCCATACTGACGTCGAAAAACTTCCTCCCAATCTCGGAAGACCTGATGGAAAAAGATCTCCCCACTTGCTTCCTCTCGATCAAGAACGCTTCCAATATCGTAAATGGTCCCAACTAAGATGCCCTTGACCTGTAGAGTCATGAGATTTCTGTCAACGACCACTTCGTTGGTTGATAGTGTTCGTCCAGCACTTGCATTGAAAGGTTTGATATCCAATATAGTCTCCCCATCGGAGCTGACTATTGGTGCTTCGTCTACTTTCAAGCACATTCTCATAAGATCCCCGTCCACGTATCGCAGCACCAAAGGCTCCGCTATCCTGTTCAAGCCATCTATCAAGTCCCCTTCCTGTGAAAAATCGCTGATGGCAGAAGCAGACCAATCCGGTGCCCAGCTTGGTAGTCCGTTCAATAAACTTGGAGCCCTCCTCATAGTTATGACATCCAGTGATCGATCCTTTGTGATAGAATGTTCAACAACATTGACGTATACTATTTTAGTTGTAGAGACGTTATAATCAGCTATAATTGGCGTCTCTACTAATCCTAGCAAGCCATAAACCATGTCTTTCAGATCAGTGGATCTCGTCCCTCGAAGGCAGGCCAATAGGTCACAAATGGATACCTGAAATCCTAGCTTGTATATTTCCCGAATGGTTTGAATAGATTTCATGTTTGCAAGGCCGTGAGATTCAGTGCTGATTTCTGGAAAAATATCTCGCACAACTTGATCCAATATCCAACTGCTATCCGCAAAGCTATCCCAGGGCACCTCGTGGTCACCAAACATGATGATTGGATTTCTTGACAATACAACCTCTTGGACAATCCACATCCTGGTCCAAAATGGGCGAGTAGCAATATCACCATAAAACCCCTCTGAGAGCATCCCCTTCACCCCACGCGTGGTTGACAGTTGTTGCTGAAATTTTGTCTTTGTTTCAATTCGAACCTGTCTCTCCTCATCGGTTTTCCAAGTTTGACTCCAGGTTATCTCCTTAAGAATAGGTAGAATCCAGTGGGTTCCTAGAGAATCATCCCCAAGAAAGACAATAGTCCTCGTAGCCTTCATGTATATGTCCCTCATAAGTTGCACCTGCGATGATCTTTCATCCAGATCATCTTGGTCGATACAAATCGCATCAATCCACATCACTCGCTCCTTTTCCGTGAGACTGAGTTTCATGAGTATATAGAATAGATTTGGGGTGACTTCAAGTCCCTCCTCCTCCCCAATTAAGACGATGGGAGGATTGTTTGGGGCGGAAGCGCCCCATACATAAGACAAAGCCTCATAAGGTGGAGGAGCCGATAATTTATGTATCTCTATTGAAACATAAATGGGTTCGTCAAGGGACGATCGTGGCTGAACTGTGAGGAGCCGAAACTCGCGCAGGTTCTCATTTAGAACCTTGTAGCTAAAGCGACTGAGAGGCATGACACTTGTACTCGTAGTTAGGAAGTAGTGAAAATTTCGAGCTACCAGAGGGTTGATGAGCAGAGATAAGATAGTGAAGACTGCACGAAAATTGTGTGAGGTGATGGTAAGGAAGAGTGGGCGCGACATGAAACGAGGGTGATGTTGAACTAGCTAAATAAAGAAGCTAGGGTCACGTGCTTGCAATGTAAACCAAGTAAACGATACTGAGTTGACTGCTGTTCTACAGTGGTAAGTAGCCCGTATATATAGCCCTGAACCCCCTAAATCACATGCACTAAATCCCTATGCCAGCTGAACCGATTCCAGCTATACAGGGTATTCCAGCCGTACAGGGTATTCCAGTAAGCCTATTAGGGGCCTCAGGCCCCTAATTTCAACAGGTGAGCAAATGGCAAAGGGTCACGTGCGATGTGACCCGGGGAGCACGCTAAATAAGGTGATTATTCTGATTAAACAACAGCAGTTACTATTTCAGATGAAATCAAATACTCTATGAGTCAGAATTCAATTTGTTTTGTTTCCCGTTCAACTCAATCAAGTGCTTGTCCTGATATTTTGAGTTCAGTTTGAAGTAAACAAGGTACGGATGTCTTGGTATAAAATCATGCGACTTCAGGGCATGCCCGGCCGAGATACACTATTGGTCCACTGTAGGTTCAGAGTGGAGGCAGACGCTAGAAGCCCCATAATATAGTTCATTAAAAGATTCTGCAAATTCGAGAATATTTTACATTCCACCATCCGCATTTTGATTCGGTCTTACGAATTGGTGAAAGCTCAAAGGTTCCCGCCACCCGCTAAGTAAGTATATTCTCCCTTTGAAACATTAGGGGGAAAGGTTACTTTGACTCTCAACACTTGTGTTTCCGCCCGTCCCAGAAGCCTCGTGAGTCGTCACAGAACAGCGAAGAGCTGTCAACCGCCAAGCTATCGTTAATGTATTTATAGTCTTCAAAATCTTAGGCGCACCTACCACTTCATTCTATCCCTTCGTCTGGCGAGACATAGTCCACGCTAGCAAGGGGGCCTGGCTCAGGGCGAAAAGGCGATAGATGACTAATAAGTTTATAAGCAAAGGGACAACTTTCCAGTCTGAGCCAGGCCCCCTTGCTAGCGTGGACTATGTCTCGCCAGACGAAGGGACAGCTCTTTACTACATATTCTGCTTAATACTCCAGTTATCACCAACTCAACTCCAAGAACCACAATTACCGTTACGTCAACAATAGTAATCCAGGATGCAAGCCGTGTCGAACCAGTCGGAAAAAGTACCGCAACAGTCGAGCGCCGTGCAGTTACCTTAACGGCATTGGCCAAGTATGCGTGTGCCGAGTTATTTTCGGCTTGCAGCTGTCTTAGCCTTCATCTAAGGGCTACAAATACATTACGCCCTGACTATAGGCAGTTATGGCACAGTGTCCCGCCCGTGAAGTTCACAAGAGGCTAAGGTGTGGATTCCTCGCCCGATTCTTTTGGTAAGGCTGCAGAATGTGCTGGGAAAATGCGCTATCCCTTTCCGGGAAGATATGGTACTTTTGTCCATGCCCAATCGCTTATGGGCTTCGACGACACATCACCTCGCAAGCTCACAAGGGTGGAGACAGAGCAAACAGAGAGACTTAAAGCGAGGTTTTTCGCCACTGCCCTCATCTCTCTGTACGTTAAGTAATCCGATTGCTTAGTCCCGCTATACGGCCGATTCTAAACGACGAACCTCATTTTCTCACGATGAACCATTCAACACCCTCATTCCCGACAGCCTCAGCGAGCACCTTCCCATTCGTTAACCAAAACATAGCCAACCAAACAAAGGATCGGCATTGCGCGTTTGAAGCAAGCAACAGGCTCTACGATTTCGACCCAAGAAGTCTTGGAGTACGCGAAGCGGCTCGACAGCGTTGGGAGGAGTTGAAACCTCTCATTCAGCGCGTTTACGTAGAAGAAGACAGACCTTACCCATATCTCGCGAACCTTCTCTTGACCCAGCACGGATTTGAGACTACGTATGATTGCAAATTTACTCCATATAATATCTGGGGCTCAGATACTAACGGATGCGTTAGAAAACGCCAGTTCTCGAGGAAGATAGCCGAATGGGGATTTCGAAAGAACGTATCGAGCTCTGAGCGACGAGGCATCCTGCAATCTCTTCCTGATTGTAATGTACCTTCATCATTGTATCCCGGTGATCCGAGACTGAAGCCCGAGAAATTGAGGAGTTGGAGGAAGAGGTATAGGGACGATGTCGACGAACAGCCATGTCATTTTGTCCAACCTCAGTCGTCTGCCTTGGGTGAGTTTAGCTTTAGCTCCGCAACACGAGCTTTCAGTGACAAATCTTGTGAAATCAGATACGAGGGTGACTTCCCCAACTTCAGACCAACAAATGAATTCAGAGGGTCTTGATGACGGTTCCAGCCCAAGGACTCTGCAAAGTTCACCATCAGTCCAGTCACCCTCAAGTTCTGTTTCGGGGACTGCAACTCCGAGTGAAGATTCATGGTTAATAAACTGGTCCTCTGTCGAAGTTCCTCAGTCTCCTGGTTTGTCACGGCTCTTTATGGCTTTGAAGATCGAATGCGAGAATCCCGTGCCAGCGTTGTCACTCGAACCCGGATATCTGCCCGAAGTGCCAAGATGTATATCGGAACGCCAAATCCAGGACCTTTTCAATGACGACAATAAGGTCATCAATTCCAGTGGCAATAATCTGTATTCTTCCGGGCAATGCAAACCTTCGCCGCCACTCCCGTTGGTACCGATTAGCCACACGTCGCAGATAGCAGAGCTTCAGGATTTTGCAGCAGCTGTGTTTTTTGGGCACCCTGCAAGCCCACTCAATGAGCTCTATGTTTTCTCTGGTAGTCCCTCCAGTACCCCAGTTGAGGTTGATCTTTCTCATAGGACGGTCTGGGCTTCTCTCGCCTCACAGGAGAGCGACTTCAAAACGAAGTTCACAAAGCTACAACCGCTTTGCGGCAGAGGCGACCCCTCACTTGTTGCGGCTATGGAGAGTCTTTCCCAAACTTACTACGACCGTAGGAAATATGCTGAAGCTGAGGTGCTAGACAGAAAACTTAAAAAACTGTATTCGAAAGAGCTGGGAAGCGAGAATCTGAGAACTCTGGATGCAACCCAATGTCTTGTCGATTCTCTCGTCGCACAAGGGAAGTTTTACGAAGCACGCTCTTTGAATCGCAGTTTGTTTTCTGCACTCATCCGAATTGGCCATCTGGGTACCCCACGGATTGCCCACATGCTAACTAATAATGCCTTGATTGCGGAAGAGCTCGGCCGCATCGATGAGGCCGAGAGTATTCTCCGACAGGTTCTCCAACTCTGGCTTACTTACTGCGGCCCACGAGATAAGAGGTCGCTCCATGCGATGACACAGTTAGGATACCTTCTCGCGCTGACGAAAGGCCCAGGAGGAGACATGTTGCTGAGGACTGCAGTTCATCTTCATCTCGAGGGATCTGACGCTACTGACGAGGAAGCTTGCAGAGCAATGACGAACCTCTCGGCAGCATTCTGGGTCCAAGATACGCACATGGAAGGCTGCCAATTAGCCCAGAAGGCATTAGAGAAATTTCACCGCGTGTTAGGGGACGAACACCCGGACATCCTGGGAACTCAGGTAGCCTTAGCTCGGAACATGACAAAGGGAGGCGATTTATCAGGCAGTGAGAAGCTTTTCAGAGAAATCATTGCTACTGAGTCAGACATCAGTGGCAGTACAGAGCCTCAGGGCTTAGCGAACAGCAAATGCGGACTTGCCCGGGTGTTGATGTTGAGGGAATGTTACGATGAAGCTATCAAGTGGTATTGGGAGGTCCTTCGGGATAGATCAGTCGCCTATGGCTGGGGCTATCCATACACTCTCAGAGTCTGCTATGATCTTGGCGAGTGCTATCAGGTGTGCCAACGGGTCGGAGACGCTATCAACTTGTACCGGGACGTGGTTCGTAGACTATGGATGACGGACGGTTCTGGCAACGCTTGTCGTCCGGATATCGATGACATGGAGTCGTGTATCAATGTGCTAGAGGATTCGATTTCAGAAAGCAAGGAAATGGAGGCAAATGCACCTTTGACGAGTAGAGAAGATTCCAAGTACTAACTTGGTGGGATATAGGATGGGTTTCCCGGCTTGGGTTCGGTTAATACCGCGAGGTCTTAGTTATGTCTAAGGGCATAGCAACCAACTCTAGCTTTTAATACTAGATAATCAAAGCCAGTATTTGTCTTAATTAGGAGCGTTCGGGAGGACCAATTACTAAGTATTTAATTACGGCTCGGGGGGTTTCAGAGTAATCTCCGGCACTATTAATCCTTGGGGTTACTATTCTTTAGTAATAACTCCCCTAAAATTATAAAGCATTAAGGTATAATACTTATTCTTTTTGTAAGGCAAAAGTAAGTAATTTATAAATTTCGCTCTTATAAATTTCAATAAAAATATAGTGGCGAAATGAATTATACGAGAAGTGCAATATTTATATAATAATTAGAATAACTAAGTTCTTACTTTTAAAGGAGGCTTATAAAAGTAATAACGAGCCTGGTGCCCACTAGTCTATGGATTATAGGGGCGCTTAGCGAGCAAAATCATCGCGATTAAGTATAATTGCAGCATTTAATTAGGAGTAGCCTACCCAAATCGCTCCATAAGTACATAAACCCTGGGGACGAAGACTCAACACCTGTACGCGGTGCCCCCTACGAACCTTCAGTACTACTGTCGAGGCAGTATCTGGAGAGCCAAGATTGAGTCCTTTCGATCGATACGCGTCAACCTGCGAGCGACTTGGCGGACCGCTCCCTAATCGATACCATAATCAATAACACCAGAACCACGATCACAATTACGATCCTTCGGCAAGACTGCAATTGCGATTACGACTACGATCGACGCGTTGGTGAGAACGCAAGCCCGATCCTCCTCCCTCGACCGCTCGAGTCCACGATGCCAGACTCAAAGATCACGACTACGCAGTCACGACACATCCTTTTTCCCAACACACGATACATTTCACAATAACGATAACTTGAGCACACGCGTCTTGCTTTCCTCGCGCATTCCGGGCTCCATTTCCTCGATTTTACTACACCACAACCACGAGATCAGTCAAACGGCGAGGCCTACGGCTAACGACCCGGGAATCAGACCACATTAACGGCTATTTATAAAGCTAGGCTCTCTGCAGAGAAGTCTACCTGTTGGACAATTGAGAATACATTTACTACGGGCAGAGCCCGTAGCTCATATATACAGCATTTCTATTCGCATTTGGGCCTCTTCAATAAAAGCTCTATACCATATAAGACCAGAAACATAAGACATGCATACGGCGCAATTATAATCTCTTTTCACTTCATGCTTCATTGAGCTATAAGCTACATACGACCATATTAGCCGTACGGCAAGACGATATTATAATCAAGATATATAGAGCGAGCTACAAACTTCGCAACGGGAGCCGGGTTTACAGCCTAAGATTTCAAGACCTTTGAGAACTTCTTTAGCCTAGAAAGGGAGGGAATATACAAGGAAAAGTGGTGTTTTAGTACCCTGCGATGTGCTATTATAGTCCTTAGGGGTGCATAGGGGGTCCTGAGGGCACTAAATAATTTAGACATATGCTTTATAGCCACTCCGAAGGCTCTGTATTCTATGACTAAATCAAATCAATCAAATTAATCAAGTACATGAACCCAATGCTCCTGCTTATTAATCAAGCTATTAATCCATTCCTGTGGAATTGCATCCCACTTCTCCCTTACCGCGGCTTGCATCTCTTCCTCATTCGTTGGTTGGTGCTACCGGCGGTATAACCTTTGCTTTATCCACCTCCAATACTTCTCAATTGGGTTCATATCCGGTAAAGTTAACGGGTGAGGCATAAGGATAATCCCGTAAGCTGTTCTCTACCTTACATAGCAATTTCGTATAGATTTGTGGCCATAGGCAGAGTTGCCGTCCTCCATAAATAGAGGCTCTACTGCGGGATCAAGCTAGTGGGTAGTCATCGCAAAGTCGTCCACAAAACCGGGAAAATGTAAAACGACCCCCCCCCCCCGGGGGATCGATTAGGGGCCGAACTATAGTCGGTCCGACCCAAATACGACAAAAAAAATAAAAACCACTATAATACTAATTGATATAAATCGTATTAATTAAAACTATACTATATACGCTAGGAATCAATTCTATAGTCTCAAAATTATAATATCTTTATTATTAAGGGAGTTATAATATATGTAATTAAGCGAGTAAATATTTTTGCGCTTTATATAGTCATTTTTTTACTTTGGCTATTACGTGACTCCCCCCCCCCAGATTGACCGCTCTTCCATAATTATATTAATATCTCAATAACCACAAACCCAATCAAGTGCCCTTTTTAAATACTTCCAATAGCTACCTCTATAAGCCTTCAGAAGTGCAAGCGAGCTGATTCAACTCTTGATTCAATTATAGTTCTTACTCTAGCTAAAGAAGCTGCAATCCAAGCAACTCTTGACGAACGGCATGGGAAACCCTCTAATATAGAGGACGATTCTAATGGTTTAGATATTGAATAAGGCGATTAATTAGAGCTTGAAGATTCAACTCTCTTTTGGGTTCAGCGGAAGCTTATTATTAGTGGTAATAAGACGATTATTTTGGAGAAGCCTATATTTGCACAGCGAGAGCAAAGACTTACGGTACAGACTAGTAAGTTTCTTATCTTTATATTATAATATAAGTATACTAATACTATTTCTAGCTTCCAGAGGCTCGTATGTCTCCAAATTAATAAAGGAATCAGCAAAGCCATTGAGAACTCAATAAAAGCATATATACGATCAGAGGGCAAAAGATACTCAAGTCGCTAGGCTCAAGATCCCTATAATTATACCGTCTTTTAAATAAAAGAAGCTATAATTCGGCATTATTAAGAGGCTAATTAATATTCCTAGGGATATATAATTAAGAAAAGAGCAAAGGCTTGAGGATAAAGACAATAGAATAAACGAGCTCCTTTTGGATACCCTTATTAGAAACGCTTGCGGAGATAACGAAGCTCTAGACATACGAATGACTTATTAGGAAGTCCTTGACGATATGGATATAAAGCTAGTACAGATAAAAGACTTATATACTCTATATATAGTTACTGACTTATACCTATTCCGGCAATATACCTAATAGCTCCTGAAACCAGGGCAGTATTAACTAGGGAGAATCGATGCATCGCTCTTAGTAGCTTCCAGTAATTACCGCTTTAATAATAGAAAGATACTAGCTCGGCGAATTAGGGGGTTATTTAATTACTATTGACAGTGGCATGGCATTCCACTGGAGGCTAGGGGTGGTAAAAGAGATGGTATCTCTTATCTGGATAATAAGGACATCTTTTTAGCTTGCCGTACTTAGTTAATTAATCAAGAGCTTGGAACGATATTACTAAACGATTTCCTAAATACCGTTAATCAGGAGATTTTACCTCGATTATTATCAATAATCAAAAGGCCAATTACTTGTAGCACAGCTTACTTATGGCTCCCTAGGCTCGGCTTTTATTATCATGAGACTAAGAAAGGGCTTTATATAGATAGATACGAACGATCTAATATGATTTAGCATCGTTAAGAGATATTTTTACTATTAATAAACGAGCTTTTATTATATATAGTCTAGTACAAGGAGAATAAAGCTAGTATATGGTATATGATTTAACCTTTACTCCCAATTAGAGTTCAGGTATACGTTATATACTTCTATAATAAGAGCTGTTTCTATGGTTTTGACTATAAAAAGAGCCTCTGGCTAGTAGATAGTCAGTAAAAAATGCCAGGAAAGAGTAAAGGGAGGCTAATTCACGATTCTGAATTTATAGGGCCTGAGAGGCATATTAGGGTACCGAATAATAAAGGCATTTTTATTCCGGACGACCCCGATTTGGATGCCCGTTAAATTATATATCCAGGCTCAAATGGAGATCCCTGGTAGAATATAAAATAGCTACTAGTACAGGTTGCTAGAACGCTTAATATATTTGAATAGAAGTACCAAAATTGCATAGCTATTCTAATATTTAATCAGTCTTCTGTATACGCTTTACATGGCGAAGGTGCACTGAACGCCTTTGGTATAAACAAGATACCAGGAGGGATTAAAAAGGGTAATATTAAGCCCTATAGGAGGGATACGTATTTCCCACCGGAGTATACGATTCCGGGGTTACAGGGTACCATACAAGTCCTTTGGCAACTTAATCCGAATAGAGAAAGAGAGCCTAAGGGCATGGAATAGATTCTTATTAAGCGAGAGTACAATATCCCTGGCTTAAGATTTAAGTATCCAAAGGGTGCTAAGTATACTGCACCCCTTAAATACCCTCCCGCTATCGAACAAACGTACTATTTAGCTCGTATACTCTCGAATCACAAAGACTTCTTTAAGGAGAAGAGTCAAATTAAAGAGCTTATTATAGAGCGGAGATATAAGGCTATATTTCTACCGAAGTTCTACTACAAAATCAATCCAATTGAGATATACTAGGGATATAGCAAAACTCGATTTCGTCAAGTAAAGAAGGTTAGCTTCCCAGATACTAAGGTTAAGGTAGTAGAGGCACTTGAAGCTTATTTAATTGAGACTATACGGAGGTTTTGCAACTGTATATTCCGCTGGATAGATATATATCGGAAGGGATTAAGTATTAAACAAGCTGCTTGGTATGTAAAGAAGCAAAAACGCTATAGAATAATATCTAAAAAGGTAATGGATAAATAGGATAATATATAAAAGGAAGGGAAAGAAGGTAGCTAAATAAGAAGCTAAGTTTATGGATTTAGTTTAGCTAAAAGTAAGCTTGAAACCTATTTAATTATAGTCCTACCATATATATAATATATATAGTACTAGAAAAAGACATATTTAGTACTTAGGAAGGTTTAATTAAGATTATAGGGCTTAATTATTATTATTTTATTAATAATAAGGCTGGTGAGATGCCCTAATCTCTCCCTGAAGTCCGGGCTCACGTGACCTTAGCGAGCAAATATTTTTGCGCTTTATATAACGAAAAATCAAAAAAGTAAAAAGGGTCCGTATATTTTAGGCCTTAATTATTAATGAATCACAAATTATATCAAAAATCTGATTAATAGGTATTTTTCGCCTGGTTCTATTCTATAATCGCATTACTTAGTATAAATTAATAAAGGTTGTGGTTAAAAAGTTATTATAGGCGTAAAAGAGCGACCGTTTTGTCGTGTTTGGGTCGGACCGACTGTAACCTAAAGTAG